CCCTTGCTACCGTACAGGTGTTAAAATTATCGTAATAGAATCGGAAGGGTGTGGACTATAAATTATAAGTGTATATCGACTAATCGTCTCGTAATCGACTCCTAGATCCGTACCAGAGGAAACGGTTATGGGGCGAATGGTTTCCCTTTTCCGACCATTGTGTTTTCCACTGAGATATCGTCGAGGATCAGGCGAGCTTCTGTCGTAATGAATTTTCTTTTTGTCTGTTGATGATTTATTCGTGTGTAATTATGTGTGGTTTTCCTACGGGGCATTTAAGAATTACGACGTCTCGCCGGTTCCGTCAGCTTTATTATGCCCACATTTGCGAGGAAATTGTTTTTTGATCGAGGAGCTCACCAATTTACCACTTTTCAGCAAACGAGCTTAAACGCTTCCAATTTTGGTCGTTTGAAAAAATCAACAGCGCGTCATGAGGACGTTCCTCGTCGTCGATTTACGAGGGCGAAGGGGGCGCGAATTGGATGAGATAAGATCGGACATCATCTCCGCAATTACGGTCCTGTAATGATAGAGTTTTGGTCGGGGCCGTTCGCCATGTGAGAAATTGATTACAAACCGTGTGTTAGCGTCCAACACTTCTCCATTTCTATACTGATTTATGACGATACTATGGTAATGTTGTATATTTTAGGGAACGAGTTTTACAACCGACGCATCAAAATAATATTCATCAAAGAGGAGATTGTGAAAAATTGCCTTTTAACGAGGTCGTTTAACCTATTTTTAGACGAATTTTTGGACGTGGCCAAGCGAAAATTTTTAAGACAAATTTGATACATACTGTTTTTGGCCTCCTTCATAATTAACATTTATTTAACAATCGTATAGTAAGTAGTAAGACAAGCGATTGTAAAAAATATTTGCATAACAGAATCGTACGTTAAATAGGCTTTTAGGAAAATTACACAAGACGGAAACCTTCACCACGGAAAGATGATGACTAGATTGTTGTTTTTTGAACGTGTTAGAGGGTCGTGCAAATATCTTGTTTTCAATTTAGTTTTTTAATTAGTTTAATTTGCCGAACCTGATTCAACCAGAGCCAAAATTCAACATTAAATGTAATTTCTAATGATATACCTAATATTAATACCTAATACAATTTTTTTTTGAGTTCATTTTTTTGTTTTGAGATTAAGGTAGGTACTTTATTTCTTATCTTAAATAATATTTGTTTTTCTCTATAACTATTTATTTAAAAAATACTAGGAACTTTAAAATTGATGTAAATGCACTTCTAGAAATCCAACAGACTCAGAAATGTATAAAAAACGTTGTATAAACTAAAAAATTAATGTTTGAAACTTATTGTGTGTGAATGAATAATATTATATAGAAGAGACACTGGCCGGAGGCGTGATAGCAATGATATAAGGTCGTGTTTCCAGCAGGTAGGTCCGGAATTGAAACCTTAATTAGTAAAGTATCGATTTTTCTCTAATATTAAAAAGCATAATAAGATAGTATATGCATATGCATAAATAAAAACATGGGAATTTTTTTTGTTTTTGTAAAAATTAGGGGTTGTAAAATGGGGGCAAATTATGTTTTTTGTACTTTTAATGACCCTAGAGACTCAAAAAAGTCGAAAATGATAAAATTGGATAAAGTAATGACGTTTCTTGCAATTTTAATGGTAATATTTTTTTCAATCAGTAAACGTATTTTTTTTATTTTTTCTGTTTTTTTATATATTCTATTTCTTTTTTCTCTTTCTTAATATTTTTTATTGAAAATATAAAAAATTGAAATGAGTAAAGTAAAAGTGAAAAACGTTTTCATTTTCTAATTTTAACAAACGATTTTTTGTTATGATGTTTTTTATTTTATTATTAAAAACATAAAGTTCTTGTAATACGACTTTTAAATTCTTTTGTTATACTAATAGTAAAATTGTCATTAATTTGTGTATCAGATTGCAGATGAAATAATAATTTTTTAAATCTTAATTAGTAAAATGTGTAAAAACTTTCCAGAAAATTCCATTTTGTTAAACTGATTTACTGTTAACATAAATCCGTTGTTTCGTTTTCATTTAACCAAAAAATAATTGAAACGTCAATGATGTGTTAAAGCATAAATTACGAAGAGAAATGTTTATTTTGTTAGTAATTTTAGAAAATCTTAATGTGTTGTGTTAAAAAATTGTTTGCTTTTTCAAATTAGTTTATTGATTAAAGCCAGTCAAAATAAGTGAGCGTCCTCTTTATTTGAGTGTTTTCGTTAAAATTTTATCTAGCAATCTGTTTTACCGGCGATGTTGTTCTTAGTGTAGAACGCTGTAAAGGATCGTTCTTTAAGGCTACACGTTACTTAGATGGCACACCATTGAAAAAAATATGTATATTTGGTAGAATTTTTCAAATTCGCAATTTATCATTACGACGTATTTTAGTAAAATTAAATTTATTTCTTGAATGAAATTCAAATTAAGTCGGAAAAGCCGGTCTCCTTGTCACAGAAGGCTTATCCCTAATATCCGCTAGGAAGGGTCTAAAGTTCCGTCTGTAAATCGTCGGGTAAATCCCCCGATAAGGATGGAATCGATTCGTTATTGAGCAGGTGACGTTAACGACGTTAAGGGAGAAGTTAGTCGTAATTGTGTCGCCCGGTTTTACTCTAATGAACGTTGTAGACGATCCTGTTTTCATCCGCGATTCTTAATCGGACAAATGGGATTCACACCAAATCTCCAATTGTCTCACGGCTGATTTCAGAGTTTTATGTTTGGGATTTGGCTAAAAGGTGAAAAAGTTGTTTATTTAGATAGCAATTAATTGTGGCTATAATTTTCCACGCCTCTTTTTTGAGGTCATCTTCGTGAAATATGTTTCCGAGCCACGCATCTTCCGCAATGATAAATATTTTCGCACTAGATTTTAATAAACATCCCTCGTATTTTCCCGTTTTTATTTCTTTATGTCACTAACCACTTAATAAATTATGTGGCGTTTTTCCAAAGGAAAAATGTGTTTTTCACATATTTAATCTGATTAGTGTTTCGTTAAAACTTATTTCAATTCAGCCGCAGATGTCAGCAACATAAATATCACCGAAACGATCCACTTAATTTTTTTTTAAAGTCAAGACTAGCGAAAAAATTCTTTCATTCACTCGAAAAAACATAAATCGTTTTCTTTTCAACGTTGAATTGTAATTTTTTCGACACGAGAGAAGCAACAGTTGTGACTAATCTCTCTAGAATTCGATTATGCAGGCTGGTGGTGAGGATGCTCTGTCAACACAACTAATTGATGTCATTAGAGTCGCCAGATTAGAGCTGGCGATGACAAACCGCCACTCGATTACCTCAAGCTCAAAAACCGGAGTGGCTCCGGAGGTACTGTCAATCAGAAAAAAAAATTGTAGTTTACGGCTTTTAAAAACGCACAATTTAGTTGATCTCCTAAGACATGTCTGAACAAAGGCCTCCAATTAGTCTTTCATAATCAAATCTTGGAGCTTTCAGGCATCCCTCGTAATTTTTTTTTCTTGCGAACGTTTTAATTAAAGTCGTTATTAATTCAAGAGACTTCCGCATGGATTAGTTTTAGACGATTGATCGACTGAGAGGTGAAGGGATGATGATAATATCATCTCTTATTTTCATATCGACTAGATTTAGGGAACAAGTCTCTATTATTCGTGGATATAACGTCGAGGTAAGGAAATTCAAGAACGAAATGATCGGTCCTCCTTCCGATCATACATCCAATAATCTTCTCTTTACGACGAGAATATTGAATACATTTTCTTATAATGGGTATCGTAGTTTGTTAAATTGAAAATATATACAAGAGATTAGGAAATAAGACTTATTTTTGAACGTCGGAAAGGTTTTATCTTTATGATTCATTAAGTTTGAGAGGAGGACTTTTTAGACTCGCAATTAACAGAAATTATGAGTAAATAAACCAGCAGAAAATGTAAATTATTTACGGGACGGTCTGGCAAGACAAATAAGGAAAATGCTAACTGTGAAGATAAAATTTATTTATTTTTTGTAAATTATATACTGAGTAGCATTAAAAATGTTGTTAATAACATTCAGTGTAAGTACTAAAACTTTTAGACCAAACATCTACTCGGAATACGAAATAAAAAATCGCCCTAATACGGATCTTTTTCGCCAGAAGAGTTTTTACGTGACCATATTTCCAAACTTCCAGAATCGTTTAGAAAGGCCATAACAAATAAATCGTCACACCTCTTTATTTTTTACCAGGTATACATTTTTTCTACTAGATCTTTAATTGTAGTTTGTTGTTATTATTAATCAGTAAAGTGGCTTAATTTTTTTCAGTTTATTTTTTTACTTGAGTTGAAATAATAGAAATATCTGTTTGAAACTAAATTAATTTTGCCAATTCTAGAGTTTTTCCCTCATTACTTTTGTTTGGAATTATTGTCGTTGCGCATGCAACAATCCCGAGTATTTCCTAACAATCACCATTTCCCGATTAATCGCCTCATCCATTTCCCCAGCGTCAATGAAAATCTCGAATTAAACCGAAACAATAACTCATCGAGTTTCAGAAATGCATACCAAACAATTACTATTAATAAGTGTCGCTCTATTCCTCCTACAGCGTCGATTTAATTTGTTTCTCGTTTCCACGTCCGTCGGAAAAATTTCTTTCCGGATTTCGAATCGGACATGTCACTATGATTTAAAAGAATCGACGCGTCTTTCCACCCCTATTTCAACGCAGCGTTGTGAGTTTTTTCAAGGAGGAATCGAGCCAATTATCGGAACGCTCAGTCGAATTGAGGAATAGTGCGAGATTGCCATTCTCGAGTCAATTATTGTTGCTGAGGACTCAACTTATCAAATTTAGAGCGCCGGGAGCTATCCTTGCTAATATCGGAATTTTTCGGAATACGTTGACCCATTTTCCAAGCCGTAAATAATTCGATTGTTTGTACAATCTTATCTGAACAAACCGGCAAATTAATTTCCAAGAGAATGTCCCAAAGATAACATTCTTGGGACAAACAGTGATAAAATCCCGGGTGGATTTTAACCATCAGTCGTGTTAAATCAACCAAGAAATGAAGTTTTTAATTCTGATTCAGATTTGTGCAGTCTTTGCTCAAATCGCACCCAACAATCGAGGTACATTAACTAATCATCTGCGATATTTAAGTTACGAAAAAAATTTCAGGTTATTATTGGAGGGACTACAAGTATAAAATTCCCGAAGATGCAGTCTCTTGTGGTAAAGATTCAACCGGGGGAGAAACTTATATCGGTCAAGCGTACGTCCACATTGATGGCATTATAGTCGCCCAGATTTTTCCCGCTGCTAAAGAAATTTTCGTTTCCTCTTATGGCTTGAAAAAGGCGACAATGGCTGTTAAAATTTTGTGCTCGAAAAACAAGGATAAGTTCGAGTGGTTGAGGACAAACTCAAAGTATTTCCATGTCAATGTCACTGATCGGAATCCGGTAATTGGGGGATTTAATCACAGAGAATTGCATAAAGGGATGCTACATATCGGGCGAGTTGTGCATCATGTGGAGGCCCGGATTGGATCAGTCGATGGTTTTTTAGAGAATGCAAAAATGAATTACGTTCATGGAACCACCATTCAAACCGCGGATGACTTTGAAGTACTTCTCTATAATACTAAGGACGATTATGAGATAAAACTGTAATTTGTTTCTTTGAGTTGAAATAAAATTTGAAACAAGCTACACTCTTGTTTAGTTTCTCTGAAAGTTTCGGCATGTATTATCCTAGTCCAGTTAAAATTCATGAAACGACCTAACAAGGTCTCGAATCAATACACCCCATTGTGGTCTAGTTTTAATTAACTTAGTTAACACGAAATTCATTTTTACAAATTCCATTCGCACCTTGGAAATTAAATAAGGTCGTGAATCCTGTCAGAGGATAATTGTAATTTACAATTCTGTTTACAAGCCGCTCTCCTAATAAATAACACTTTCAAGCCTGCCGCTTATCCCAATTAAAACCGAAAAAAATGCCTCGTGTGAAACTATTTCCTGGTCCGAGTCACTCGTTTGAAAACATTTACAAAACGTTTGGGAAAAACCCGGAAATCCCTTAGCAATTATTCCGGCGAGTTTGTCGTTTGGAATTCTTCGAGAGTTTTTCATACAAATCAGATCGAATTGAATCTAATGAATAATCATCAGGGTGGATACGATTCGTTTGATTGGAAAACCGAATTATAAAGCACGAAAAATTTTTCCCTGTAAATAAAAATATAACGAGCTTGAATTGAAACGTTTTCACGCTTTTTGGACTATGGATATGGACTCTGAGTTCATCCCTTATCACATTGTTTGAGTTGTTATCAAAAGCTGATTGGTTTTCAAAATTCAACATTTCCTAAGTGAGTCAAGATGAGACAAGTCGCTTTTTATTTTTGCATAATTTCTGTGTGTTTTGCCGCCGGTTCAGGTAAGATTTCAGTTCAAAAAATGAGAAATTACTATTTGTTTGTAGATTATTACTACTGGCGCGAATTCACCGGAGTCGTTCCTCCGGACGCTCTCCCCGGAGGCAAAGACGCCGACGGTCGTGACGCTTACATCGGCGAGGCCTATATTCACGGCCATGGCATCTACGTCGTCCAAATTTATCCCGGAGAGAAAGAAGTCGCCGTCCCGGCTTACGGTTTCAAAACTGCGAGTTTCAATATCAAGATTCTTTGTACCGAAGATCCGGAGTTTTTTTTGTGGATCCAAACTACGGCCAAAAACTACGAGAAAGATATCGTAGGAGTGGAACCGGTCACTGTGGGGTACGACGGCGTGGGGAACAGTGGAGTAGTCAATGTGGGAAGGATTTTTTATCAAGGGGAAGTTCTAGTCGGGGATGTAACTCCCTATGCTAGTAGAAAGGGCAATGTTCAATTATGGTTCCCGTTCCGGAAAGTCGAACGCGCTGTGAATTTCTACGAATTGTTGGTTGTTTACGTCCCGAATGGGATTGAGCCCCGGATCGGGAAGGTTAATGCAACAATGATTTAAAGTGAATAAATGAATCAAATTTAGACTGTTTTTTTAATGTTAAAAAAAATGAATTTCTCAAGAGTATTGTTAAAATTTTCCTCGTAGCAGCTTTTATTTCCCCATGTTTAACACGTTTTAAAAGTCACCGCTGATAGAACACAATTTATAAAGTTTTTTGTTGGCTGAAGTGGCGATAAACTTTGGGATTTGTTTGCTTTTTTGCGTTATCGGATCCTCCTGTTCACGCCGAGCTCCAAATCAGTGTTTTTTTATCCTACCGGAAGAAATTTCTCCGCCAATTAAAAATTTGATTTCGGTTAGTCAGTGTTTGTTAACGTGTGGGCAATATGCGGCCTGATATTAAATATCGGTAAATAACAAATTTATGTGTTATAGATAATTATCAATCAGTGTTTGTTTAGATAGTTGGTATTAATCAAACAATCAATTCTTCGTTGGGCAAAATAGATGGTTTGAAGCGATTTTGATGCATCGGTGCACTTTTCGAGTAACAGTATCGAGAGAAATCAACGAAATTACTTTTCACTTTAATCCAAGGCGAGTCTGTTCTCGCACATTTTTCGAATTATCACAACAAACAACTTGAGGATGAATCATTACCGAACTCAGACTGCAGCAGGAAAATGCGCTGAACTAAATGAAGATGTACAGATTACATAAAGCATACATTTTAATTAAAAAAACTGAGACATTTTTCAGGTCCCTGAAAAATAAATACTCAACAATAGTATATTATATCACAAGGTAGAGAAGAGATTTTTTTAGCCGAGCGTAGCATCGAGGGAAATAATAAATGCGAGACTATAAAAATCTTCTCTATCGTGTTTTATATATTTTTTTTTTTACAACTAGCACATTTATTATCCAGAAATACAACGATGACAAATATAACCCTACATGTTGTCTCAGACGTAACATCTCACAACTACTATTTTTGTTAATTCACTATTACCTACAGTAATTAATTACTTATCTGAGTTATTAACTTAAGTTATCATAAATGAGGTTATGTCATTTTTGTACTTATGCAATTATTAAAGGAATTTTCTAACTTCGTAATATAAAATATTTGTTAAAAAACAAAGTAACTGCAAAAAAAAAGGAAAAAAGTGTTGAAATTTGCCTCACTACCGATTATATTTTAACATAAAATAAACCCATTTGTTGTTTTGACATAGACAGAAGCAGTAGAGTTAAGGTTGTTCTGATGGTTTTCATCAGGAAATTTAAGTTTTTTTATTCAGAATCACTAATGTAATATGCCGATTACTAACCTTTTTAAGGTTGGGAAACATGTCATTATTTCTTATGAAGAGTAATAAATGTTACTCCTCTTGGGTGGTAATATGCAGGATTGCCAACGTTAAAATTACGAAAATACCGGAAATTTTTTCTTTCAAATTGTCAAGTTACGCATAATATTTCGCTAAATTAGTATTCAATTGCTTTTGTAGCAGTTTTTCTTAATTCTGGGGGAGTACATTGCTCCATTTCGACGACTTTAAATCAGATTTACACATTATTTCAATATTTTCTTTGACATTTCTGAAATGTCAAAAATCAAACGTCATTTGGATGGCCTACCTCGTTTGGACCTTAACTTTGTTAGAATTTTATTTTACTCAAATTTTTGACTGAAAATAATGTGAAACCTCGGTGGTAATGGCATTACCCCTTGTGCTTTATCCGATCTCGAGGCTAGCGCCTCTCGATCGTATACATAAGCACTCGGGGTAATGCCATATTTACCACCTCGCTTGTAATGTACTATTTATTCGATTTTGCATGTATTTCATGTTAAAATACTTCCGTTGGTACTTGCGTGATGGTAATAGTTTTCGATAATAATATTTTAGAAATATTTGTATCATTGCAACACCCTCCAACATCGACATTTACCCACCTCTAATGCATTATATTGCCCTTGGTTTATAATGAAAATGATTATTGACTGCTAGGAGAGAAAAACAACTTTACAATCTCTCGACAAACTAAATAATGGTATCTTTTACAGCTAGTTGTGAAAAAAACCAGTTTTCATTATTTAGTTCTCATAATTTTTTGAGAGTAAATTACAAACTTTAATACTAAGAAAGTTTTTTATTCATTCTTTAACTTTTTAATTTTAATAATAATGATCATTATTTTAAATTGATCTTTGTTCATTAAAGCCTTAAAATCAGTTTAAATTCTTTGATGGTATTCTACGTTACAACTTGAAAATTAACTGAAACAGAATTAGTGAAATTTTATTACAACTAAACCATTACGCTTTCAGTTTCACAAGCAGAATGGACTATTAGTACATTATATTATAAGTGATAGAAATGCATCATTATATGCGAGTGAGATATTTGACCGACGAGTGGGACACTTCTCACAAGTTTCATAATGACATTTCGATCACGTGTGATATACGACGTTTTATCTTACAGGTGCAACTATCCAAAAAATGAAGTTTCATTCAAGTAAAATATTCACCTATAAAAATATAATAGTAAATATAATATAATAGTCAAATTTACTCACTTGTGAATACTTTATCTTAATTGTGAATAATATTTGATTTCTATCACAAAAAACAATGGTATAAGGTACCTCAGAAACTCAACCTGTAAGATAAAATAATTTATAGACTCCAAAATTTTAGTAAGTCAAGTAGAAATTCGCAAAAGATTTAAATCGCTCACAAGTGAAAGTTGTAGAACTTCAGAAAAACTGTATTTGCTGTTAGAGTGGAATTTTTTTGTAGTAGTATTTTTCTCTTTTTTCAGAATGCTGACAGTATAATTTGTACATTATTATTTTTATAGTACTGAATATCCGCTGAAATGCTTAAAGATCCGCTAGAAATGTGCTCAGATTTTTAGTAAATTTTTTAAAATGTTCACAGAGTGCACAGAAATCTCTAAATTCGCCCCGGCAGCCGCTTGTTCTGAATTCCTGAACCAATCGCTGAAAAATGCCTTATTTCCGATTTGCATTAAAAATGGCCCAGCTTTATCCCTGTCGGCTTCCGCCCCCAATTGCAGGTGCGAAGTCGTCCCGAGGGTGGCCATAAGTCTTAATTCGTCGTGTTCATGTTGGCAAAAACAAGAGGAGCGCTCCGAGCGCGCGCTCAGTCTTTGATAAACGGCAGCTAGGTTTGGACGCGGTTTCGCTCCGGAGGAAAAACCACGCGTCGTACACGAAAAATCAAAAATGTGACACTTTTCGTCTGAAAAATAATTTGTGATCGAGCAACTTTTCCAATTACGAAGTGCTGAAAGTAAGTTGTAATTGGTCGGTGGCTGTTTTTTTTTTCCAAGTGAAACGACTTGAGTGCGAGGTTTTGTTTAGGGTCGGATGGTCGCGCAACGGGGCTAAAAATTGGCGAATTATCATGCATGGGGTGCTAAACAAATTTTTGGACTAATTTGATTAATTCCGGTTCGAGCGAAATTCGATGATTTATTTTGATCATAAAAGAGCGGTTTGGGAAATTTGAATAAAAAGGGGAAAAGCGTTGTTGATACACTATTATCTAAACAGACCCGTGTCAAAATTGATGATTTATTGTATATTATAAGTTGGAGTTAATACTTTGGAAAAAATTCTCTTGTAGATACATCATTTTCGTGTTATTGATAGACAAGTAAACATTCCTTTTACGACGTGTGCAATTACAAAGATATAAACACATAAATGTATACAAGACAAGCACAGATTAAGGAAATTTTTGTGTTGCATTTATGGTGAGAATTTTCAAATCAAAACCGTTCATTAATGGAAAGGAGTTACTCCATTTCGGACCACGAACGTAAAAACGATCATGATTTACAAATTATCAACATCTGCAACTGACAATGATCGATGATGTATGACGGGATTTTTGGGCCGAGTAGCCGTCCAAAATCGCTTAATAATAGCCAATGGCCTAATCGAAGAGAAAACTGGAAAAATCACACGCAGGACCTCGCTCTTGCGTCAATATTGTACCATAAAAGTACGAGTATATTTGCGTTTTTACGGTGTAAACAGATGGGACTCGAATTTTTCGCCCGATAAATAAATTTTGATGAATGGACTAAGTGCGAATCCAATTGGCTCTGCTCCAGTTATTAGGTTAGTGTTAATGGTTGCAAACAATGCGGGAAGATGAACGAAAATAGATTATTTACAAAAGGGACGAATTATATAACGCGATTTTGTTTTTACGATGCAAATAAAAAATTAATAACTCGTGTATCTAATAATTTTTAAATTGGAAGAAGAAAGATGAGGTTTTACGACCAAGTCGGAGATAATTGTCAATAAGCCACACTTTCGGCAATTACCGATGTATTTTAGTGAGATTGCGAAACGCGTCTGCTCTTTTTTCGTTCGGGAATTATTAATAAATCTACGCTAACACAATAACCCTATAAATTTTTATGTTTATTGAATACAGTTGAATAGTGTTTATTCGGGAGCAGATAAACGTGCACTTCTCTTTTACGCATTTTAATGAGGAAAAAACGTATTTTGCTCCTTTTATAGACGCCGTTTGCCAGTTATAAAAATAAAAGCGATCGACGGCGCCATCCCGGTGAGTTTCAATTTAAACGTTTGTAATAGACTCGTTAAAATGAAGTTTTAACATATTGACTGCTTTAATTATCGATTTATCTAGAGAGGGACGAAACTATACACAATGGGTTAGACAAAAAATTATTCGAGTTTATTATTATTATTATTATTATTATTATTCGAGGATAATAAATCTTCTACACTAAGTTATCCAGGAATATAAGGCGTGGTGCCCAAAGAGGAAACCCTTCATAACTTTTCAAGCTACCTTTACGAGTATTGTATTAGTAACTAACTAAAGCTGTTTAAGGAGTTTGTTTTGTCAAAGCAATTTGAACGAGGGCACGTGTTCATTTACTTTACGTAACTAGAGGAAAAGCAATAGAAATCATTTTCAGTTGTTGTAGAGTTTTGCATTCAAAGGCTTGAATTTTTCCAGGATTGTGTAACGATTCAACTACCTTGTAAAAATATTCAATTTTTTGCATTTTTGTGCCGTCGCCATTTCCATTCAGCCGAAAAATGTAAGCGAGAAGTAAATTTTCAGAATGCACATTGGGAATTCAGCGAGAAAATCGCATTTGCATTATAAATAAGCATCATGTTAACATCAGTCAGTTTTTGGAAACGTAAAAATAACACAAGAGGGTTAAATATGTAAAATCACTGATTGGTTAGTTTAACCGTGAAATTTTTTTCGTCTGATTGCGTAATTCCAGGTGCCTTCTAAATTTAGCACGTGTGTATTGTGTTAATGAAGAAGATTAATTGTCGTGGCCCAGAATCTTCCATTAAGACCTTGTAATGTCAACTTCTTAGTCGATTAATACGTTAGGACGTTGTAAACATAACTTTGAGTAAAAACTACGACACGACAATGAAATTGAAATTATAATAATTGTAATGTCGCTTAACCCTGAACTGTATGTACATAACTGTGTTGCATTTGAATGTTTTGGTCGCTTTGTTCTGTAAAATATGTTTTATTGACGAGTGGGTGGAGATTGGGCCATACATGGACTGTATAGGAGACAAGTTTGTCGACTGAAACAAAAAATTAAATGACAATGTAACGAGCCGAGCGGAAATTTTAAGGATCATTGACATGAGACGAAGTTTGTAAGGGTTTTTATCGGCGGATGGAAACCAACCCTTAGTAAAATAGACGCCGCGTGAGAATGACTCACATCAAAGAATTGGTACAGTCCAACTTTTTCAAGCAAAAATATACAAAATTTTCAAATAAATACAAAAATGAGAGAAAAAGTTGGAATATTTTTAGTATGAAGAGACCCTAACAATTTTTTCTTGCTTCTTTAGCAAATACAGGGTGATTTTTTTAAGAGTCACTTTGCATGTCTCAGAAAAACAAACAAAAATCAGACAGTCCCAAGACAGATCAATTTTTATTTACAGCGGGGACACCTTTTAATGTACTTTTGAGTTGTAGTATCAACCCTTTTTGTAATATAAACAACCCTTTTAAAATTTTAAATGGCACCACTCCGTTTGTGACACCTCAAATGAATTTGTTGAGTGTTTTGTTTGAGTTTTGAGTGTTTTTTACTTACATTAGGCAAAATAACATCTAGCCACCTAACCATTTAAATTTTATTTCCCTAATTTTTTTTTCTTATTTAATTTTATTTACCTAACCATATTCTTTTTTTGTATTGTTTTTAGAAAACCGTATTTTCATAATAGAAAATGTCAGTTTAATTTTAGTTAAAAATAAACCTTTAATTTTGTTTTATGCATTTCATACTACATAATATGGTATTACCAGTAACTGAACAGCATGTAATTCAAAAGAAAATATTAAAAAAACAGCTGAATATCTAGTCAAAATATCATTCCCTTGAAATTACAAAGGGGATGGTGCTATTTGTGTTTATTTTTTTGAGATATAATGGCACCACTCCCTTTGTGACACCTCAAATGAATTCGGCTGTGTGTTTTGTTTGAATTTTGAGTGTTTTTTACTTACGTTAGGCAAAACAACATCTTGCCACCAACCATTTTAATTTTATTTCCCTAATTTAATTTTATTTAATTTTTTTCTTATTTAATTTTATTTACTTAACCATTTTTTTTCCGTGTATTGTTTTTAGAAAGCCGTATTTTCGTAATAGAAAATGTCAGTTTAATTTTAATTTAAAAATAAACCTTTAATTTTGTTTTATGCATTTCATACTACATAATATGGTATTACCAGTAACTGAACAGCATGTAATTCAAAAGAAAAAATTAAAAAAACTAGCGAATTTCTAGTCAAAATATCATTCCCTTGAAATTACAAAGGGGATGGTGCTATTTTTGTTTATTTTTTTGAGATAGTCACGGTGAGATAAAAAATCACAAAAATTTTGTTAATTTATTTATTTGAGTGAAAACATTTTTTACGTTTGTGTAATGTGTCTCGTAAAGTACCTGCCAGTTGAAATCCGGTATTATTTATAGTAATAAAATTCCGGGTCGTAAAACCGCGCAATAAATTGTAAACATTATTAAATCAAACGATCAAAATATGAGCTTTTTGCAGCATTGCTATCGTTAAATTTATCGAAAAGTCGACTGCTTTAAATCGCTCAATGCATTTCCGATCTTCGAATCGCATTACTTCCGCTTGTTTATTTGTTTATTATAAGCGCGTCAAGCTTCGACAGGGGCAAAGATCGGGGTTTCCCCTCCGCCTTGAGCGATTTCAGTATACCCACAAATGGATTAGTTCTGTATCATGAAACTTCCCTAATGTGACGTATTATGGCCCAACTAATACACCACTGATGAATGCGGCGCCTTGTATCAAATTTTCGCCGCTTAGTATAAATCAAAAGACTTAATCTTCTTCCGAAGACAAGTTAAGAAAATAAAGGAACGAGATTTAAATCTCGCTCATTAAGAAAAGCGTCTGCATTACCTACAGCCAATTAATTAACAGATGTGTTTACAACCGGAAAACTCCGGGAAAAAATCACCGACGTTGTGAATAAAATATGGCCGAAGTAATACCACTAAAATTTATATAAAGCTCTCACAAACACATAATACTTCCTGTAATATCCAAGCTTTCAGGCGGTTCGCCTCGTAAATGAAAAATTTTCGAAGGGGATGAGTTTTTTGCAGGGGAAAGCGGATTTTCTTATTTATTTCGTGATTGTTGTTTATGCAGAATCGATTCGTACAATAACGAATTCATGAAGTGAGAAAAGGGGCGTCAATCATAAAAATTTGCATTTTTTGAAGTGGGAGAGGGTGGAAATTAAATAGACGACGGTAATTAATTATTCTGGTTTTATTCAGAATAAATCAAAGGTCGTTAAAGGTTTTCCCGAAGAAAATTAAAGAGCAAACTTATCGCAAATAAAATTGTTTGATTGTTGTTGTGTTTCTATCATTCTAAGGTAGAAAAAATGACGTTTGATGAGTTCAATGTCGTCAGCTTTGGGAAATAAAGTGGCCACTATTTGTTTCGATTTTCGGTGTTATGTAAGCTAATTTTTTTTAATGGTGTGTGTGCTTTTCTGGTTGTAAAACTTGTTTTAATAATAGTTTATCAGCCCACCTTCACCTCTAAAGTTGCATTTTACCTTGACTGGTAAGAGTAGTGTTTTGTGTAGAAAAATAAAAAAAATATGACTTGCATTTTGAGTAGTAAAGAGACTCTCTAAGACTGGCAAGAGAGAAACAAAAATCTACTGAAATATGTTTCAAAGTAAACGAACCCTTGATCTTATTTTCTGTAATAAATACTTTCTAATTAAATTTAATTAAAATGATTAAAACGTCTATTTTGCCAATTCAATCGTCAAATGAATGTTTTTAATTATTATTAAATTTCTTTCATCACTCTTTCCTGAACCTATATTGGCCAAATATTTACATTACAGCAGTCTGTATAATATAACCAAATATTTATCGCGCGTAAACTTTCCATTTCAAACACTGAAATTCCGTCGGCCATTACCGATAGGACAAAATCTGCTGATTATTCATGGCGTGATGCTTAGGCCGATTAATTTTGATGGAAAAAGAGCTTTACTTAATTGCTGAAAAAGGAGACGATTTGTGACTAATCCACAATTAGTAAAAATCGGTTTCGTGCTGAAATTTCAGTCGACTGACCTTGCAACATTGTGCACGTTCCTCGGACCAGATCTGAAATAAAATCTGCTCGGCGCGTTTACGATTTCACGTTATTACCCCAGAAACGTTATCTGTAACGCTCCGACACTCGTTCCGGAGTTTTTTCAGCAGCGTGCCGCCCGGAAAAATAAACGGACCCTTAAGAAGTGGAGTTTCAAAAATGATTTAATAATTTTTACGAAAGAGTAAATGTTAAAATAGCAATTTTCTTTTCGGTTTTGGGCAAAAAGTTGGGGTTAATTTAGATGTAATGGAGGAGGCACTTAACGCAGTCTCTTCTGGGCGTCTCCTTTCCGTTAAAAGGCCTCAGAGAGCCATTCCGTGTGGAGAATTCTGGAAATACCTGCCGCATCAAATATTTTTGTCATTCAAAAAGAGGTCTGCAACTCTTCACAAATCTCCCAAGTGTCGGTTTATTGTAAATTCTCGTTAGATCGGCGCCGATTCATCATCATTTCTGGCATCATTCCAGATAAATATTGCAATTTTCACAATGCGATTATAAATCAAGTTATTTTCGCACGACCACCGGCTCGATGAAAAAAATCTGTTTTGATACGTCTCGAATGGTTCATAAATCTATTTGAACGTACTACGAGAAACCTTGCAATGTCAAAAAATTATTTTAATTGAGGATTAAATAATGATTTTTTGTGGAAGTGATGAAATTTGTATTCAAGGAGAGACTCGGCCGTGAGGTCCAATGACATCCTCTCTTTTCGTCAAGTTCAAATTACTGTAATCCTGCACTTAATTAACGAAAGCAATAGCGCCAACTTAAAAAAAAATCACTAATGAAAGAAGTGATTAAAAAATCCTGAGGCATGTACGCCCAAGTAATGAGTTCCTCTAATTGAATTTTTTATGAACTAAACTTGACATATCCGTTTGATAAGTCCACATTTACTCTTCCAAAAATAAATTTATTTTTTTATTATCATTTCCAGACAACCATAATTTAAATTCCGCCGGTTCTAAGCTCGTTAGTTGTGTTAAAACCGTCCAATCAATAAACGGTTTAATCTCAATGGTCAACATTCAATAAACCTCAACACAAACTCCAGACGTTTTAAGATAATCCAATTTCTTTGGCATATGTATACCGCTCAATAAAGATAAAAGAATACTAAATCCACTCTCATTAAGTTAAATTGTTATTTACAATAAACTATAATTTTTCCGTCTTTTACGACTTCAATAGCTGTTTTTTTAATTCGTCTTTATGTAGTTACATAATTAATTTGAACGCAATTAAAGTACAGTGTTATTGTTTGAATTGCGTTTAAATTAACCGCTCTCCTCTCCGCCAAAATAAAACACAGTGAAATATTAAAGTGTTTAGCCGCGATTCAGCCTCGACATCAATTACACGTCTTCATTTCAACACGCCGCTATTTTACCGAGTTATTTATAGGGAAGTAAGTTCTACTTTCTGTCCCATTTATCGTGCCGCCACTGGCCGTCGCGTTATTAAATTCCACCCAAAGCTGCACTTACTCGCAATTAAACGATAATTACCGAATCAGAATTAATTTCATTACCTCGTAATGAATCAATAGTTAATTATCGTTTGAAACACAATTTACCGTGTCGAATAAGGGCCTAGTCACGTAAGACCGAAATATATTACGACGGCTCCAAGACGGATTTTTAATTAAGAAAACGAGACAAACGACTAATTACAACCCTAACGAATATGAGAGGACAAGACAAGTTTGAAATAAATTGATGTCGATTTTTACAATCGTTGCAATTTCGACCCAACTTGAAAGATTCAAGGACCTTTACTATTAAGTTTAAGTTTCTAGGAGAGCTTTATTGTCGAATCTCGAGACCGTTTTGAGAAACTTTGTTGTAAAAAAATGATTGTTTTTCTGGAAAGAAACATTTTAATTGCAAGCTCTCTTCATTTTAATTGGCTAAGAAAAAATCTTTTTAAAATCCTCAGCTCGTGACAATTCCCGAAATCCAATTCTCCTGCACACTCGCATGGAATTTTTATCTCCCATCGTCGCATCAACGTAATCCTTCGTGTTTCAGGTCTCTTTTTGATGGCTCCGCACTAGCACAATGCCCCCGTCGCCGCCGGACGACCGCATCTCCATCGAATGCACCGAAAACTCCACTCTAACATCATCATGCAACCGCACGGCCACTTTTTTCTTCTCCTGCATCGACTCCAGCCCAACTTTCGTCGACTTCTACTGCGAGTTCGACTCCCTCAACACAACTCTCTGCAGGTCTTGTGATTTGAACTCAACCCTGGAGTTAGTGACCAACTTCACGACTGACCTCACTGTCTCCGATTTTATTTTACGCGTCGTCTCGAATTACTCCGAGTGCAGTTTGGTGAATCGCAGTGGCGGTGGTGTGTTCTGGACTTGCGAAAATGTCGCAAACGATAAGGGGACGCAATGGGGTGCGAATTACGACTGGAGTTTTCTGTTCGTGGTGGTGTTTATTTTGGCAGGAGGATTGGGAAATATCCTGGTGTGTTTGGCGGTTATTTTGGACAGGAGGTTGCAGAATGTGACCAATTACTTTCTGCTCTCGCTGGCCATTGCCGACCTTTTGGTCAGTCTCTTCGTCATGCCGTTGGGGGCCATTCCCGGATTCCTTGGTGAGGAATTTAATTTTTTTTCTTTTATGACTCGCGAGACTTTAATTTGGTGGTGTGATGCCTTAAACGGCGTCAATATGCACGTTTTACGAGCGCAAACACGAGAAGTACATGGTATTTTCTTCAGAATTGCTCGTAATCTTGAATTAATTTATTCCAAGTTCTCTTGATGTTACAAGTATTTATCTAAAATCATTTCATTTCCGAGGAAAATATCTACAAAGTCCTCGTTTTGCAACTAGTAGCATTTGATGAATTCACGTCCTGTCGTAAAAATGGCATTTGTGGAGTATTATGTTCGGTTATTGGTTGAACAAATGACCGTTTTTCAAATATCACGACAGGACTCAAGTTTTTTATGAAATTTCCTCAGCGGTGATAAATGTTTGACGGCGCTGAACAACGACCAAATGAATTTCAGTTCGGCAAAACTAAATTTTCACACAGTGTAGGTACTGAAAAAAAAAGTTAACTACAAAGAACACAAATACTTTGTTCAAATGTTTATTATTTTTCTTTTTATTCTTTTTTTGACATCAAAACTCAATGATAAAGTCAAAATTTAGGTTGAAAAATTCTGGTTTTTGCTCCACTTAGTGTAAGAACAACCCGTCCATCCTGTTTCTTTTGAAGTGTGGGCCTACCTCTGTCCATAAATAACAATTTGTAGCGTTCTCGTCGTAATTCACTCACATTCGCGCTACCCTTCGCATAACGTGGTTATTCCAACATTTGCGCCGGCATAACAGAGTTAATCAAGAGTTTTGTAGTGCGTGTAAATTTCGTGTGAGTAGGGTACCCCTTTTTCTCTCTAGAAAATTATTCCTTTCTCATGGTAAATCGCGAGAATCCAAGACGCGAGTTATTTTATGTAGATCATGTGCTTTAAAAGCTCCCGGGTCAACGAGATCGAATAATCCAATTAATCCGAATCGAGAGACGATATTTTATTCAAAACGGGTTTTATTAATTCAGAGACATAAATTAGCACTCGGAGATCGCCGCCGGAGGTTCTTTTCTTTGTGTATCTTGAATCTTGTCGCCGTTTTGAATACATATTTCATGTTAGCAGTGGTAAATTCGCATCGTTTGACGTAAACAAGGCTCGTATATCTTCAGATTGTTTGGTTTTCACCCCTACCAACAGATGTCACGATTTGAATTCCAAATTTCAACACAAAAAAAGAAACAAACCAATTCGATATGGTCAATTGCCAACATGGCAAGCTTTCGGCCATTATCTCGTGTGAAACAAATAAACACTAAAATTTTTCTTTTTCTCACTTATCCCCGGATTAGAAGCGCAAAGTAAAAATCCACTCATCTCCCGGATTATAGTTTAGTAAAGCTTTCGAGCTTTGCTAAGTTCTTGTCGTCCATACAGCTTTACTTATTCATGTATAACAAGAACAATCAAATCCGAAACGAAATCTACTTAGCGTCCGCAAAATTTGGAGCTTTTTCTCCGGTGGCAAGCAAACCGGAAGAGATTAGAAATGAAGGACAACGTCTGTTATCGCTCACCGCGCAGTGTTTACAAGAGTTAGCAATTTCTCGATAACGCCAAAGAATTATGTTCCCATTGGTTCGCTAATTATTTAGCTTTTTCCCGGCGCATCCACCATTTATCAAACGGACAAATAATTTGATGGTAAGTTACTTCAGAACGCTCGCCAAAACAAACATGTAAAAGAAATGTTTTCAAATAATTAAAGTGTGCTGAAAATAAATTCGAGTCGTTTTTTTATCGTTCTGTGAAAATATTTGTAACTTTCTATCGGAGGTTTTTTTAATGGAAAAACGGACGGACAGAAATGTATTTTTTGCATGACAAACAACTTTGAACATGTAATTTTGATATCATATGTACCTTAATAAAAAAATTCAGTATTTGAAATGACCCTAGACTGGGCAAAAAATACGACACAAACGTCGTTTACCAGTATGAAACTCTTCTTTCAATGGAATATTTTTTGTATGTGCTTTCAGAAATAGCTATTAGACTCATTTAGGTAAGTCAATACATAATAAAAGGTTGGAAAATAAACCCACGATTCGTCCATTTTAGGTAACAAAAATATTATTTAATTAATAAAGTGGTAAAGACAGAAACCTTTACATTTTTCTTTTTTGTTTTTTTCTCTGGAAGATTCGATTGAAAATCCCGGACAAGTCGGCGACCTTCGCCAAAAAATTAGCTCATCTCATTTTTAACTGAAATTAGTTCGGATGTTGGACTACTTTCAGGGAAAGTTTCTTTTTCCGGTAAATTACGCCGACTCCTATTCGTTTTTATTAGTTTTCGGTGTCGTCAAGGGATAACGATATTATTAAAATTTAATTACTTGGATAATCACATAAAATTCAATTTCGTCAAAGTACTGACAAAGCTAATGAATCATTTTAATTGAATCCAACGTCGACTCGGTAAATAAGATGAAATTTGTCTTGGAAATTCCTTACAAACTACACATCTCGGTTTTCGGTAGATTAACTAAAGTGGTGACAGAGCCGCAACGGAATTTTTTTGGTCATCCGGAAAATTAAATGAAATATTTTTTGGATGTTGTCGCACCTGATCAAGGTTAATAATAATCTTTCCAGACCTGACTCCAGTCTTATTAAAGTCAAATTAAGAGGTCGAAACTTAATCTAAGAGAGAGTTGTGTGTCGCTGCAGGCGGGTTGAGATTGGATGTCGTCGCAATTTCGGCAAAATTCACAAACTAGCAAAAAAATTAAAAAAACCTCCGAGTTAATTTAAACTAGGCTTCTGTTAAAATTAAAAATGAATCGAGAATCTGACTTTCAACAGGTTAAAAACGTCAAGAAATAAATCATCTTTTCGTATAAAGAGGGATTTTTAAATCGGAATGAAATTTGTGATTAAGCAACCACCTGCTCTTTTGATTGTCACTCGAGATAAACTCATTTCATATTCGGGAAGGAAAAACCGAGCACTTTTCAGATTTTTTTGTGCCCAGACACTTGAAATGTAATCTCGGTCTGTCAACAAAGCTCGATACAGGAAATAAGAAAACTTTTTGTTAATCGAGTTGAAAAATATCAACTCGGTGTTTAATTGTCATTGCGGTAAAGTCCGGCAATGGATTAGTGCCCGGATTAGATTTATGAAGTCCGCTGGCGGCAGTGCGGAAGCTTTTTAAAATTTTAATCCGTCGACGGCAACAAATATTAAATAATTTGGTTGTGCGGCGAGCAAATTATTACACTCGTCGACGAGGAGAAATTCGAAAGACTAATTCCCGGTGGAAACACGATAAACCGAAATGAGGCGTCGGGATTTTATTGCATTTCCTATTTAAAGAAACGTTGCGAAAATAGAAAACCGCCCCTGCGTATCGGAAAAATGCAAAGCCGGGATGTTTTGTTAAGACGAGAGAGGCTATCATGGGAGATAATGTCCGAAGAGCGGCCTTAGATTAATCCGGGAGAGTTTTTAGGGACTGGAAACATCAAAAGGGGTTGTTTGCATCAAGAATGGTTTAGACTAAAAGCCGAATTTCCAGGAAAAAGTCAAAGGGATTTTATTATTTTACAAAATTTCATCAAATTTGGCTTTAAAGCCACTGAAAAAATAGAATACATCAATCTGGGGCTTATTTCAACCCAATTATCTTGGTTGGGATGTTTGAGAGGTTTCTCTACGTTCATTATCAAACTTATTACCACCCAAATGAACTATCATAAGGTAATGTTAGGAGACGACGTCGCCAGATTCCCTAATTATTACTCTAGTAATCCCAGTATGAGTATTCGTAACTTAGCGAAAATCTCCACCGAATTAAATTCACCCTCTAAAAACCAATGAACGGAAACCGAGACCCATTAACATATCATTTCATAATTTCGATATAAAATACCGAAATTGGTGGTAAAAATGTTGCGATAAATTAGTGTTTCTGAGTTTGTTTGCCTGATTAATGTTCTTTATTATGACAGTATTAAATTTTGAATCAAAGAAACATCCTGGGGCGCTCAAATTACGGGACTATGGAGCATTTTCGGCATCAAATTTATATTGTGACAAGTCGCAGTTAAGTTCGGGCTTTGAATTCACTTGCTGATTCGATCGGTGGCTGTCCACAACTCTATTAAACAGATAAGTGGAAATTAATATGTAGATTGGAGTCGTTAAGGGGTTGCTTGCGGTCGTGTGACTCGACTAATTTTTAGTCTTTTGGAAATGTAACGAGGGTTGTTATCAGATAACAAGGCAACATCGAGTTACCTCATTGCGGATAATTAACGATTTAAAGTTGGATCCCGGAAAGACCCACCGGATAAAACCCATTTCGGTCCACACGCAGTGCTAAATCAATATCAAGACGGTCTTATTTTGCATATGAATCATTTTCCGTCGCGTTGACGCTCTTGTTTACAACTTTTCCATCTAACATGTTTCGCTGAAAATGAGGGGTGAATATATAAAAGCTCCGGACGGGTTTTACGTTGTCTTGTTCTTAATCGCATGTGTGTTTTAAAAATCGACAAAATGAGAAAGTAAATGGGACAAGTTGAAAGCGACGTCATCTGCAGCAGACATTAATATTACAACGATGTTCCACCAGCCATTTCTAACGCAATTACGGCCGAAAATGCCATTATTAAAACCGACATTTCGGGCAAAAACTATTTTTTACCATTCTTGGCAACCCATCGGCAAGAAAGCAATTTCTTTTATTTGTTCTTGAGCAATTTCCAGAAACAATGACTTTTTAAGGTATTCAAATTCAATAATTTAAACAGTAGTTTAGTAAAGGTTACTTAAATTTTCTTGTTATTTTCATTTTTTTTATTTCCTTCTTGTATTTCTTTATCGATGGCAAAATCTAAATAAAATTGCATCTAAGTTAAAAATCGTTCCTCCCCCTCCCCTATTTTTTAGTAAATTTATTTGCAGCTAATTTTTTAACTTTACTTTTAAAAGTGACTTTATGGTTCATAAAATGCGTTTCACAATACACTTTAAAATTAAAATTTGGCTTAAAGTGTCTTTAATTATTTTAAAGCCTGAAATATCTCCCTTTAACTCACTAATAAAGTAGCTAATAATAATAAAGTAATAAAGTAGGCAAATTTCTCAGTTATTTGAATCGCACTAAATCAATGTACTCAGTGATCTTTCTAGTTTAATTTCTTCTTCCGACAAGGAAGAATATGTACTTACCACAAAGATTAGAAATTTCCAAAAAAAAAGAAAAATTATTTTCAGCTTTATGGGAGGTCGATTTCTTTGGTCGTTTTCATTTAACCAAGTTTACCGTTTACTCTCTTTTGGAAAGTACTAAACCTCTAGTGAAAATTAATAAATCTGTACCTTTTCAGAATGGTAAACTTTATTATTTAGTTGACAATCAATAATATTTTTGTAGTGTCTGCCCTAACAAACAGATCTCTTCTTTTTGGAAAAAATTTATGATCTCTTAGCTTTTGGTTATCCATTTTCGAAGTTCAAATTATTTGAATGACGTTTAATTGTAATAAAGTAGTCAAATTTAAATAACGTTGATTTTAAAATTACAAGTACGAAACGCAAGCGCACGGAGACGTAAAAAAGTTCTACCAACTTTACTTAAAGCCACTTTAACTAAACTTGATACATTTTGCTAAATATTATGAATTGCAATAACTTTAAAGTCGCTTTAAGAAAACTTTAATTTTTCAATATCTTTTAACTAAAGGAACTTTAAAGTAAGGACATATTATGAAACTGGGCCAAAAGCTAGTTAAGAAATTTAATAATTTTATTCTTGATCAAAGTAAGATGAAATTCTAATACTCTAAAAAGGACAATATAAAAAAAGCAAGTGAAAAGTGACTTTGTTGGAACATCTGTTTTCTATTGAATAATTTCTATGCAAGATTTAGTTTCTTTATGCAGGTTTTTTAGCATCGTAAAGTTGCAAATAAATATTTCTGTTTTTTCCAGAAAAAAAAATATTGTCAGTCTAAAAACACTTATTGCAACTATTGGAGCACAGTTGCGTTGTTTTTTAGAGAAAAATTGCCAGAGTCAGTGATAAAAGCGACCCTAATTACGCGAAAACACCGGAAGCTTTCGAAAGGCGCAAAAGAGACTGTTCAGGTATTAATGAGGCGACTTTTCGTCGACGACCGGAAAAAGATTCCTTTCGAGTGATGCATTTTCCATTTAGTCGAAAAACCGCAATGTTTGAAATGGCCGGAGCATGAAGAGGACTCTGGGAGAAAATTCAACTAGGCACATTTAATTTTTTTCTCGATTTGTTTGGCGTTTTGTTCTTGGTAAATTATTAAGAAGGCGGAAGTGGTCTTCAGAGTTCGCGGTTTGCATTTTTAGCGTTTCGGCTGATGAATGGTTTCATTTCGAGTCGGGGTGCACCCTTTGTGCGTTTGTTCTCGTAGCGTTTTCGTTATTAACTCGATACCAGGCCTTGCGGACAGGTACATATTGTCTATTCAGTCTCCCCTTCGTTCATTTTCTTTTCTCTTGTTTTTGTTACGTTTTAGTTGTATGGGATTTTCGCTGGAAGTTGCCTCATTAATTAAAACATTATCTCGCAGCGACTGCTAGTGATTTTATCGCGTCTCTGATGTGCAGTTAATTATCACCTCATCCCAGTTTCTTTAAATAATAATCGACCAACAGGTGGAAACAAAATGAAACGAAAAAAGAAGAATGCAAAAGTTGAAACTCCGGGAGCTGTGGTCTCGGAACCGAAACGTTTAAAATAACACGACAAACGCATGCCTTTCGGCTATGGTAGCGCTATTCAGACGTATTTCACCCAAGTTTTCGTGATGTGCGGCGATAAATCTCACGTTATCGTTTCGGTAGTGAGTTCGTTCGCTCGCTCGAAATTAAGATACAAAAGGACGAGGATTTGAAATAGGTGAGAGCCCTTGTCGAATTCATTAGGCAGAAAGGCGAGAGAATCTTTATGTTTCTGTTTGTTTCCTCACTTAGTGTTCCGACAAAAAAACGAATCCCGGCGTCGCTCGGGACAAATTAATTGCGAGGAATTTCGATCGCCTAATCGATACAACACCACCACAGAGGCCGTTCTTTCGTGTCAGCGATTCCACCGGCGCCAACGGTGACCATTCGAGTGATTAAATTAAGCGCCGGTTAACATCACTCATTGTCTTCCTTTCTTTGGACTACACAAAAACACTAAAATCAAATATTGCAACCAAATCTTAATTCCCCCCGAGATCAGTGTGAGTTTTATGAGGTGCAAACTGTCCATAACAGTGAAAATGTTTATTTTGTGAAAATCTCTTAATCGTTAAGGCTGTTGGTTCTTGATGTGAATTTTATTTGATATTTTTAAACTTTATTTTTGAAGATAAATGAACCATTTTTTTAGAACTTTATAATTAATAGGGCTTTCGGACTACGAAACATTTTTTTTATAATCTAAAAAAAATTATTTAATTATTTAAATAATTAGTTAAACTAAAAATAGCTTTCGTACTCTGAAAATATTGTTTTTTTATGACTAATGAACATTTTGTATATAAAATGTTTAACGCTAATATTGCAATAAGTATCAAAAATGTTTTATAATTTTTTTTCCAATTTACGGCAAGCTGCTTTGATACAAGCGAGGATGGAGAAGGAGCTAAGCGCACGTGTTAGCTCATGGTCCGAATTGTGAATGATTCAAGGGTCCTCTCAAATATCGGAAGCGGCAAAATTAATAAAATGCACAATGATTCTTCATGAGTAAAATTCAATATCTTGTCAGAAATCCATAGATATACCTCTCGTATATACATAAACATACATAATTATGCAGTATTATTCAATTTCTTTACGCTTTTTATCAATTTACAATGTTTTAGTTGACTTTTACATTTCGTTGTTCATGATTCCAGAAGTTTTGTTAAATTAATTTGATGGTTTTTTTAAATTTGATATAGAAATAATTAATAATAGTAGAAAAAAAAATAAAAATAACAAGCTTTTTGTATTTATTGTAAACGCTGTCAGTGATTCGGAAATTTCTATGATTTAATTTCGATTTAAAAATAAAAACAGTATGTACAGTCACAGCCAAGTAAAAGCGACCACTAGTATAACATTTTAAATTGTGGTATATTATTAGACTTTTAAATGAAAATTTCAATAATAGATATTTGTAATTTTTTAGCTTTAAATTTGATATTTAGAAAAATTTCAGGTGATTTAATATCAATTTACAACAGAATAAAGTACATTAGTGGTCACTTTTATTTCACCGTAAATGTACCTACTTCCGTTTTGTTAAAATTGTTAGCATGGTAAAAAGTTTTTTATCAAAGTAGTAATTATAATTAATTTTTTTACAAATTACTTTGGATAATCAGAGGTGCATTGTTAGTTACTGTTAGTGTTAGTTTTAAAAACAATGTACGGTATAATAAAAAATAGATATATTTATTTAATAAACGTTTTTATCAAATAACCTGTGTCCAAATAAATTTCTGGTGAAAATTGCTATAAACAAGTCCGAAAAACTGTTTTGTATCAATACTAAGATCTTACATTTAAACTCTTTATTTTAATTCTATCGTCAAAATTCCCTTTTTAAAATTAAACAATGAAAATTTAAATACCAGATAAATATTAAGCAATTTTTTGACACCAGGGCACTCTTGACCAGAAATTTATTTAGACACACTTTACATAATACATTTTATTTTAAAGTTTTAATTTCATTTAGAGCCAGAAGAGGTAACATGTTTTCCATATAATTTTTTTAACTTTGGAAGCATTTTTTCTTTCCTAAACTTCTCATCTCTATTAACTCTGACTATTTCTAAACCCTTATTGCTCCAAACAATAAAAAAACAAAACTGTCTATTAGCTATTTGAAGCTGTCCTTGCACTTGATAAAAATAACTGTGCTTAGGATTCAAAATCAATAAATCTTCTTTTTTTTAAAGCACCAATAAGATGCTAAAGATCGCAATAAATTACGATTAGTTAGTTTTCAATATATTCGTCTTTTTTTAACTCATAGTGCAGGCAATCATTTCACATTTTAATTTCAGTTACACGCCTTTCTTAAATTCACAAAATATTCTTATGGACAAACAGCCTTAAGATTCACACCGCTGTTGCTGGTCATAAATCATGTCCTCTATTTTAGTTGGGATTTTTTGCCCTTCTGTTCCAGGTAAGTGGCCCTTTGGCGTCGCCTGGTGTACAGTGTATGTCACGTGCGACGTCCTCGCCTGTTCTGCCTCCATCATGCACATGTGCTTCATCAGTCTTGGTCGTTATCTCGGCATCAGAAACCCTCTCAAGACGCGACACAGCACCACCACTCGGACGGTGGTAATGAGGATCTGTCTCGCTTGGTTGTTGTCGATGTTGGTTTCGAGTTCGATCACAGTTTTGGGTAAAGGACGAGAAATCTTAGCCCAGTCAACTTAAACAAATCGGTGGAAAAAAATCCTAGAGAGTTGGAATTTTTTTTAAACGCTTTACACTTGGGTAGACATATATCAAAAGTCCTCAAAGGTGGGGGTCGAGCTCGAGAAGGGGGAGGGGATTAAAGGTGTCTTTTTTTGTTTTTTTTGCTTGTATCTCGGAAACTATCACTCTTATGGGGTTTTCTCCTCTTATCAAAATTAATAGTTATTTATTCGACGAGTTTGAGTGTAAATCGGACTCTTTATTTGACCGAGTGGATTTTTAAACCACGAGTGTAACGAGTGGTTTACAGTCCACGAAGTGGAATAAAGCGTCCGATTTACACTCAAACGGGTGGAATACAACATTTTATTCTTCGAATTAGAGTCAACAAGGCTTTAACTTGCTTTAAATCTGTTAAAAATAATTTGACGTTTTGTATTGAGAAATGCCAAACAGTTGTCAAAACTTCCTTACACGAGAGAAAAAATTTTGACAGTGTCGAAGAATAAAGCTTATTAATATATAAATTTCCTACAAAAACGGTCCTTTACATTTTTATTGTAGGCCTAACCGTAAGCGAGTTATAGGACTGACAAAAAAACATCATTTAAAAAAATATGCTTTATCAGCATTTAAAACAGAATTAGTTTTGTAATTTGAAAAAACTGACAGAAAATTAAATTTACTGAGTCTAATACTTCATTAAAGGAGGGGGGGTCACGAGGGTCTATGAATACAAACTCATCGTTTATAGAATTTTCTGTAATAGTATATTACAAGCGAGGTGGTAAATATGGCAATACCCCGAGTGCTTATGTATACGATCGAGAGGCGCTAGCCTCGAGATTGGATAAAGCACAAGGGGTAATGCCATTACCACCGAGGTTTGTATGCAATTTCATTCACAATCACATTATTTTCAGTCAAAAATTTGAGTAAAATAAAATTCTAACAAAGTTAAGGTCCAAACGTGGTAGGCCATCTAAATGACGTTTGATTTTTGACATTTCAGAAATGTCAAAGAAAATATTGAAATAATGTGTAAATCTGATTTAAAGTCGTCGAAATGGAGCAATGTACTCCCCCAGAATTAAGAGAATTAAGAGAAACTGCTACAAAAGCAATTGAATACTAATTTAGCGAAATATTATGCGTAACTTGACAATTTAAAAGAAAAAAATTCAGGTATTTTTGTAATTTTAACGTTGGCAATCCTGCATATTACCACCCAAGAGGAGTAACATTTATTACTCGTCATGAGAAGTAATGACATGTTTCCCAACCTTAAAAAGGTTAGTAATCGGCATATTACATTAGTGATTGTGAATAAAAGTCTATTTCTGCATCAAAATTTCCTACAAAAATGGTCCTATTCATTTCTGTAGTAGGACTAACCGTAGGCTTCTCAAGTTTGGAGTCTACATAAAATTACATTAAAAATCCTTTGAAACACATTTCACTAGTTTATGGTAAGTTTTTATATGTGTAGAGCGTTCCCCAACTAAGCTGCCTGAAAGGTGACTCGGGTGTAAACGTTTAAACGGAGATATAAATAAAAATTTTGAAAGAAAGAGAGAATCAATCTCTAAGAGGGTTAAATGGGGGTAAACGTTTAAATAAAGATATAAATATAAAATTCTTTAGAGGTGTAAAGGGGCACTAAAATCAGATTTTTCGAAAATTAGTTTTTAAGGGAATGAAACAGTGTACACATTTAAAGGAATATTGAAATATAAAATTTGGAAAATATGATTAAGTGTAAACACTTAAAAACAAAATTAGAAACATGAAATTTAGAATTTTGAGAGTGCAGAAGTGCACTAAAACGACACTTTATGAAAATTTAACATTTATCCATGAACATAGCCCATGCGAAGGATGAGACTACTATAGCTGAATCCCATACAAAACATAGGTGGTGATCCAGCTTTAGAGAGTACCTAAGCTTATGGAATGGTTTTGTGACAAAATCGCAGGCAAATGCTAGTTCAACATATAAGGATGATCCGGAAGATTTGGTAGACCCCCGTGGCACCCTCTAATAAACGGTTGGACACCCAATACATTCAATTTACTGTAAGCTTTATTCAAATTATCGATATTAAATCATCTATTTATTAATATTGTACTGAACAAGACTGTAATTCGGTTTTCAATGTTTAGTTGAAGACGAAGATGCAGCATATGAGGACGACTCGGAAGACTTTATAGACTCTCTAATAAAGTGTTGCACCCAATAAATTCAATTTACTGTTAATTTTTTTAAATCACAAGATTAATTCTGTTTTAAATGCGGATAAAGCACATTTTTTTAAATGATGTTTTTTGTCAGCTCTACAACTCGTCATACAACAAAAATGCAAAGAACCATTTTTGTAATCATTAATTTTGATAAGAAGGTAAAAACCGATAGAAGTGATAGTTTTCGAGATATAAGCAAAAACCCAAAAGAAGACACTTTTAGTCCCCTCCCCTTCCTCGAGCTCGGCCCCTATCCTCGGGGATTTTTGATATATGTCTACCCAAGTGTAAAAAAAGAGTTTAGAAAAAAATCCAACTCTCTAGGATTTTTTTCTACTGATTGCCCTATTTTGTCTAATTTGACTGGGCTATCTGTTTTTTTTTTCGCTCAATTCCTTGCTTTTCAGGCATAATCGACGCCCGGAACATAATGCCCGCCCCCGATTCGTGCGTGATCAACAACCGGGCCTTTTGGGTGTTCGGCTCGTTGGTCACTTTCTACGTCCCGATGGTAATAATGGTGGTTTCGTACGCCCTCACCGTTCAACTCCTCCGCAAGAAGGCGCGTTTCGCCGCCGACCACCCCGAGAACGAGCAATTCCGTCGTCTCGGCGGCCGTTTCGGTCCCAAAGACCGGACTCCGGCCATGTGGAGGACAGCCGGTTCCGGGGAGAGGTGGGCTCCTACTTTCCTCCAGGTTGATTTAACAAGTTCCAGAAACACGCTTTCACCATCTGTCCTTTTATCGCGGCGACGATAAATCTGCACGTCATATAAATCCAGATAAAAGGACGATACGAGAGACGCTTTCCTTTTACGTTTTTTATTTTCACTCTTCGTTCGAAATTCCGGCGAATTAAACGATTCTTGTTCCATAGGGCCGGGAATAACATCAGGATTAGTTCGTCGCATCAACAGCTCGCTTATGCCAACGGCGGGAGTGGCACTGGGGCCGCTCCGGGCGCCCGGAAAGACCAAAGCACACAAACGCCGGATAATATCGCCAGAGAGACGAGGAACTGTAAGTTGAGGTCGTTGAAGTTGCAACTCAATAATGTGCCGTCGAATTTGTCAAACTTCAGGTGAGTTTCCTCCATTTTTACGATTCAAAAATTCAAAACAATCAACGTTTTGTCTTTTTATCTTATCGCGTTGTCAACAGATAAAATATTGTATTGCTTGTAAGTGTTACGCTGCAGCGATCAAAAGAATCGAAAAATCAAAAATAAGCGTAAAATCCAATTGTGCCTTTTACTTTCTCTAACTCCTCCCGGAAGCTCACCTGCAAAAACTATTTGGGAGAGGTATTAAAGAACCAAATCCGGCTTATCGCGCCACCAACTTGGTCCTGTTGGGGGCAACTTGGAATCCTTACATAATCCTTGTTTCAAAATTATAACAATTATCACAACTTTTCAGAATTTTAATCGACGAAAGTGAAGTGTTTCAAGGAAAAACACAAAAAAGACTTTCATTGCTTTTAGTGGAGGTGTTATAATCCCGGCTTTAATATTTATTTCTCGGAGATTGTCTCCTGTTAACAACGCATGAGGTTGAACTATACTGAATAAAAAAATAAAACATCGTTCAAAAATTATGAAAAAAACATTAAAACTTTTTGATGGCCTTAGCAACAATATACAGGGTGTTTGTGGATTGCAAGCAAATATTTTAATCACTAAGAGAATTTGTTATGAAAAGTCGAATTGAAGACCAAACAAATTCCGTATCCAAATTTTATTTTTGCAATTTCCCTCCTATGATTTTCACGAGCCGTTTAGTGTGTCTGTCCTTGTTAGTTGGAAGTAAAAATATCAATGAAAATAAATTGCATTGAATGTTGACCGCGAAAGTTTTTATACAGAAAAAGGAAACTTTTTGTCAAAAAAAATTATCACTTGTTTACACGTGTCAGTTTAGTTAGTCGTTAATGCGCTTTCGGGTGAATTGTGCACATCGAATCAAATTGTCAATCAACTCATTATGTCCAACTAGTCAAACGCCAAATTAACTAGTGGACGGACATCGCACTTCCAAGACCGATTTTCACTAAATGTTTGGGCAGCATCATTGAAGATCACCAAATTGGACCCCACATATTACCTCAACGTTTAACTAGTGCCGTTTATCTGGATTTTTTGGAAAATGTGTTGTCCGCTCTGGTAGAGGACGTGAACTTTGCGACACATGCGGTATTTACAAGTGGAGCTCCATCAGATTATGCCAAAGTCGTCACCAATGGATTGAACAATCATTTTCCCTAGAAATGGATTAGTCGCCAATGACCACCGCGGTCACCAGATTTAAATACGTGTTCACGTGGGGGGTTCACATGAAACAATTAGTGAATTAGTGTACGCAGCTCAAATTTATACCTTCGAAGGGCTGTGTGTGCGAATGCAAGCTTCCCTAGCCCGAAGAGTACAAGAAGTGTGCATTGCCAACGAATGACCACATTTTGAGCATTTTTTTATAATAGCAAGTATTGACTCACTAACATTGACACTGATCTACCCTAATGTAGCGATATTTTTTTACGTTCCAAAGTTTTTTCTTATGAATGATTGTAAACATCGTATTAAGACATAGGCGGGGACGGGTTTTCAGGCTCAATTTATTTTTAATTTTAACTCAGATATGAGTGCTTTCGACAAAAGTTGGAATCACGAAAGTTGTTTCTTTTGACGAGTCCTATTAGTGGTTAAAATATTTTCTCGCAATCCTCAAACCCTCAAAGACCCTGTATAATTATTTTGAAATCTTTTGTATGTGTCGTTTTTTTGGTCATATTTTTTTTTATAAAAGTACTCTGTACTCTGCATAAGAATTTATTTTTTGCGTATTGTAGATAACTTAGTTATGTTACTGTATTTTTTTCATGCAATTTGAACGATACTAGTATGTTTTTTCATTGAAGTTTGCAATCCGTACAAATATTTAAACTGAGATAATAACTGTGTGTGTGTGTGAGGTACTGATTTAATTCAGGAACAATATCCAATTGTAAAGAAACCAATTTCTTTACTGTTTTTCTTGAACATTCAATTTAATTTTTTTTGTTTGAAGACTCGTTCAATTTAAACAGCTTTCCTTTGAGTGTGACCTGTACACAAGCAAGAAATTCTTCCGGTGGTACATTTTGGAACGTGCCATCTACTGAACGGTAGAGTAAATAGTTTTTGAAAATCTGTAATTTTTTAGTTTCATATAAAAATACTAAAAATCTCAGAATAAAAGAATTTTTTTAAATAAATTATGTACTATTTTTTCTATTTGTTCCAACTCATAATAAAAAAAGAAAATGAACCAAATTTGTTTAATGTAAAATGAGTGGAACCAAGTGTATGATGGGTTGTCTGCTACGGCGCTAAATATGGCGCCATCCAGCGTCCCAGAAACACATTAATTTCCAGTATAGTTCAACCTTAAACAAGTCAAGTCCGAGTCAAGGCAAATAAGTTTATAGATAATTCGATCTGTGGTATCGTCTCCGACGACAATCACGGCACATCGACCGCGAAATCGACGAGTGGGTGCTCTCGGGGCCTCCAATTACGTAAATTGCAAGGATGCATTCCAACCAGTTCCGGAGGAGGTAGAGCAAGCGGTCCTTAATGAACGTCTCGGAAGCGCAGCCACAGAGAACGCTATTAACGACCGTTTGACGACAGGATTCGGATGCATTAACGGCGCTATTTAACGAAACTTGCTATAACCCGTGTCCCACTTAATTTTTTGGTGTGTTTGTAGACTCCTCGCGGGTCGTGTCAAACGCAAAACGATGGCCGCTAACAGCGTCGCCACCGAGCAGAAGGCTTCCAAAGTGCTCGGTTTGGTGTTCTTCACGTTCGTCCTCTGTTGGGCACCTTTTTTCATCCTCAATATCCTTTTCGCGGCTTGTCCCGACTGCGATGTCCCCGAACACGTCGTCGTCGTGTGCCTCTGGCTGGGATACGTCAGTTCCACCATCAATCCCATCATCTACACGGTGTTCAATAAGACGTTCCGAGCGGCTTTTATTCGACTTTTACTATGCAGATGTCACAGGTGATTTTTTAATTTTTTTAATTGTGTTTGATATTTTCTTGTCTAGACTTTCCAGGCCGGTTAGGTATAGGTCGGTCAACGAAAACCGCGGAGCTGCTAGTCTTTGCACTCCTTCGGCTCTTCCATTGGCTATAAGTCTTCAAGGGACTCCGCTGTTGACACCAGCATCAACGGAATCTTCCTATGTGAGGACGCCGTCGACGAATTTCCGCGAAAGAGACGATTCTTACGACGATCATGACTGTTGAACTCGTTTGTGTTTAATGTTACCTGAATCTCTCTTCAAGTAGTCGAATTTAATTAACCAAAGATGTGTTTCGATGTTGTTTCAAACCAGTAGAATAACTTGGAATGGTACCAAATGACAATCTTTGATACTTGCGACACATTCCTCTACGAACTGTTTTTTCTTTGCAAGGATCTGTCTCTTTCAAAGACAAATCTTGTGATGCTAGTATGTAACAAATCGGCCAGTTGCAATCAGCAATAAATAGGTTATAAACCGAAATTAATTTTTGTAAAACAAACATTTCTCGATGTGAAAAATAAATGTGTGAAAAAAGTGTTTTTAATCGAATCGGCCCTCTTCCTCGTCCTCGAAACCTAGTTAACACACTAATCGTGTTTAAAAGTAATCAAAAAGCAGTTACGTTACGAAATAATAATAAAAAACACAAGCCCTTGAGCAGTAGCAGCAGGGACGATTCCTGCGAAACTTAAAACTGGGGCAGCTTCTGATCCGTGACATTCTCCCTCCCTTTTCCCTCCGTCGGACTCATCCCTCGTCTAATACAAAGCAATTACGCAGTAAATTAGGCGTTAACGGAGCCCGAAATCGAGTCGGAGGCCATTTTTGTGCGTAAAAAGTCACTTTCTTTGGGTGAGGTTGTGTATGAGATTACGACATGGATTTGCTCTCGCGGACTGGAAAGGGTTGGTGACGGCTTTTAGCCGAGTACAAGACATCGGCCTGCATATATTAAAACGTTACAGGATGAAAGTTTCATCATGGTATACGACTTTCGAGGGACACACTCGGAATTCGGATCAAACACAAGCGGCGACAAACACCCGAAAATTTTCAAACTTCCAACAAAAACTAAATTTTTTGAAATTGCACAAATAGTACAGGGTGTTTGTGGATTGCGAGCAAATATTTTAATCACTAAGAGAATTTGTTATGAAAAGTCGAATTGAAGACCAAACAAATTCCGTATCCAAATTTTATTTTTGCAATTTCCCTTCTATGATTTTCACGAGCCGTTTAGTGTGTCTGTCCTTGTTAGTTACAAGTAAAAATATCAATGAAAATAAATTGCATTGAATGTTGACCGCGAAAGTTTTTATACAGAAAAAGGAAACTTTTTGACAAAAAAAAATTATCACTTGTTTACACGTGTCAGTTTAGTTAGTCGTTAATGCGCTTTCGGGTGAATTGTGCACATCGAATCAAATTGTCAATCAACTCATTATGTCCAACTACTCAAACGCCAAATTAACTAGTGGACGGACATCGTACTTCCTAGACCGATTTTCACTAAATGTTTGGGCAGGGATCATTGAAGATCACCAAATTGGACCCCACATATTACCTCAACGTTTGACTAGTGCCGTTTATCTGGATTTTTTGGAAAATGTGTTGTTCGATCTGGTGGAGGACGTGCCCTTGGCGACACATGAGGTATTTACAAGTGGAGTTCCATCAGATTATGTCAAAGTCGTCACCAATGGATTGAACAATCATTTTCCCTAGAGATGGATTGGTCGCCAATGACCACCGCGGTCACCAGATTTAAATACGTGTGTTTTTTTGGGGGTTCACATGAAACAATTAGTGAATTAGTGTACGCARCTTAAATTTATACCTTCGAAGGGCTGTGTGTGCGAACGCAAGCTTCCCTAGCCCGAAGAGTACAAGAAGTGTGCATTGCCAACGAATGACTACATTTCGAGCACTTTTTTATAATAGCAAGTATTGACGCACTAACATTGACACTGATCTACCATAATGTAGCGATAATTTTTTGTCTTTACGCTGTTTACGTTCCAAAGTTTTTTCTTATGAATGATTGTAAACATCGTATTAAGACATAGGCGGGGATGGGTTTTCAGCCTCAATTTATTTTTAATTTTAACTCAGAAATGACGTACTTTCGACAAAAGTTGGAATAACGAAAGTTTTTTCTTTTGACAAGTCCTATTAGTGGTTAAAATATTTGCTCGCAATCCTCAAACACCCTGTATTTCCAGCCGCATCGCTGGATTTTTTACGGCCCAACTTCCCGAATTTATTCCATATCGCGGTCCGTATTAAAAAACCGAGTTCCGGCCAAGTTTTTTTTTACAACCGGTTATAATCGTAAAATAAGTCCCGTTTGACGAATGGAGGAGGTAAGTGCAGGTATCCCGAGCTTAGATTGCCCCGATTACCGTCATTTACTCCATCCGCCCGATTTTTTCGAATAAAAGTAAACGTAGAGCGCTGTTTGAAAATAATGAACGTCGTAAGGAGTCCCGCTTCGTCATAAAATTCGCGAAAAGCCGGCCCTTTTAAAAATTTGATCGTTTGTTTCACTGCTCGGCGTAAATTTTAAATTTGATACTTTTAAATTGACACTTTGCGAAGTTCTCGCACGGGAGAAAGCTCCTCGTTAATCTTCGAAAAACTCGCATTTTTTCTTCTTTTCCTGAAGTTACTGACCTACGTTTTCCATCCTAACAACTTTCTCGGACAAACTCCCCTTAACAAGACCGCTTATCCCTTTATGAGGCTTGGAGAAGGCGTCAATTGGTCCGAAAACTCGACACAACATAAATCACCCACCGCTTCAAGGTAAAACATGTCTTTCCTCCCCTCGGAAAAGCCGCCAGACGATCAACAACAATCACGTTATTCGGTCCGGGAGCATTATGGATGATAGGGAATAATAATAAACCTGCTACATATTCATGATACATGAGAATATACAAGCTAAAGACGATGTCTCTAATCCCAACGCAAACAAACAACGACACAAATTCATCAACTCCTTCAGCAAAAACTCTTTTTTTCGATATAAAATGCATCAAAGCACTGAAAATGTATAATTCAAGAAAGAACGAAACGCGGATTTCCTTCCGGCATTGTAACACAGAGAGGGCTAATTATGCCACAAAACATGCTAATATGCGACAAATCGACGTCTTGTTATATTAATTAAAGTCCACTTGACTTCAAAGCAAAAAAGTACAAAAAAGACTAGCGGCAAAGTATTGGAAACTCTAGCAGAGACTTGAACCAAATTCTAGTCATGCAGCAGGAAGAAAACTAGAGTACTAATTTGATTTGAGACAGCAGGAATTTCTAAGAGTAAACCGTACAGTGTACAGGATTCGCCACTGTTGTGCAGGAATTTTTTCTGCCGTTGACATCAAAACAGATCACACCGCAGAGAAACAGTGCACTGCTTTACCGTCAAATCAGTATGTAAAATAAAGAAAACTTGATAGCAAACAATTTTCATTATTTTGTTTTATTTTGCTAAGATTAAGTTACAATAATTTTAATGTTATAAGAATAATAGAGACAAACACACAACTAAATCTAATCTTCAAGCCACTCGAAGGGTTCTGGTGGCTCTGGTTCCTTCTCATCGTCACCTTTCGGTCCGAAAGCTACGAAACAAATGATCACAAATCGAAGAAAAATTAATGTTTGATACTCACCAGCAACATTTTCGACCAACTCTTCTTCTCCTGGCTTCAAATTACGCACCATGACAATTCCACCAATTGAAACATCCTTCAAGGGGACATACTGACTATTATCATTAAGTGTTACAACTTTGAGTTGTTGACGCATGACTCTAGCTGGATTATTAAGAATCTCAAAATTGGGTTCAGGCTCTTTCTTCTTTTCTTCTTTTTCATCCTTCTTTTCAGTTTTCTTATCGTCTGCTTTCTTTTTATCGTCTTCGGTAGTTTTCTTCTCTTCTGACTTCTTCTCGTCTTTACTCTCTTCATCGACTTCCATTTTCTCGTCGCGATGTTTTCTATCATGGTCCCTACGACGCTGTCTTGCCGCAATACTCAGAACAGCAGTCGTGACTTTTTCACGTTCTTCACGTTTCTTCTCTTCGAGAGGCGCCGGATATGCGTACAAACTCGGCTTCGCGTTCGATTTGCATTCGAGTTTGGGCATTTTTAATTGCTCATTGAGTGCAATAAGACAAGTTGGCGTAAACGCAAGTGCCAGACAATGCGACAAGGGGAACCAATACCAATATTGTGTAAACACCAAAGTCCCCACGACGGCCAACATGTTCATATGTCCGGTTCTGGATTGCAGCGATAAAGTCACATTTCTTCCTCCTGCATCGATAATTCCTTGTGCCAAAATCGCCCCGAACTTCGCCATAACATCTTCGTGTTTGTTAGAAATGACTTGAGAGTAAGTCTGTCTGAAGAAACTGACTTTGGGACAAGTCTGTTCGGTTTGTTGGATTAAAATCATGGCTGAAGCGATTAAAGCTCCTTGTCGTACGAAATTCACCGGATCGAACATGACCATCGGCTCCAGTAAAGCGATGGCTTCCCGGAGTCCGGTTCCGGCGCAAGCAATACCCAAAGCCATCGCGGCGCCGTAGCGGACATGGGGGTTGTAACTCTCAGCGAGGAGGGAGACAACACTGGGGCATTGCTCCGGGGTTCTGAAAAAATTCGAGTATATTAGTCATTCCTGCTGCAGGAGCACGAATGAAAATTTATTCCTACAGAGGGAGTTACTGTTATTGATTTGGGCTTTGTAATTTTTCCTGCAACAAGAACAGTACTCTGCGTTGCCGACAATTTCTATTTCAGGAGGATTTACAACAAAGAGTTTTAAGTATATTTCAATAAATTTTCATGAGAAATATCAATCGAGCATTGATGAATCAACAAAAGATAAAAATTCAGAAAAACCGATTTTAAATTATTCTTTTGTTTGAGTCTGAGCCGATTGTGAGCATTTTTATCGTCGATTTTCCCTGCTTTCCAAGTCTAATGCATTTGAAAATGTAAATTTACTCTACAATTACACCCGAAAAGAAACCCTAACGATTCCCAAACAATTCAGGTAGGCCATTAATTGAAACCGTCCCTTTCTTTTCTCCTGCTGCTCTCAGGAAGGCAAAAAACCGCCGCATTTTCGCCGCCTTAATAACGCTCTGGTCTTATCTCGATTCATCCCTATTTATAATTCTAATTAATAAAGAGTTTGCGAGTTTTCTTAAGAGAGAAAAGATAAGCAAAAGCGAGATATTGTCGTCGAGGAACCGATTCGAAATGTTTGAAAATATAGAGATAATTACGAGTGTGCTTTTCAAAAAAAAAAAATAAAATAAAGCGAGAAACCTCCAAGCTGAAATTCATATAATTAAAAGAGAAGCCTATCATCGACGAGGTGAAAATATAAAAGCCTTTGATAATCAAATTCGGAAGGGGACCCCCTGATGTTTCGTCGCCTGTTTATGAAACGTTGTTTATTTTGTACTAATGCAAAAGTTGGATGGATTTTCGTGAAAAGTTTTCTAGAAATCAGTAAAACTTTTCCATTAATAAAGAAAAAGCTTCTCTCCCATTAAATTCTTCTTTATTTAGAAAACTATCAATTGATGTCTCCTATTCGACTTTTTTTAGTGTTCAATTTTGATCAATCAGAGAAAACGTTCAAGAGTAATAAGAGTTTTAACATTTGATGAGCTCCGAGACAACTGTGATTTTCTCTTGATCGATCCGTTTTAAAAATAAACAACAAAACGAAAAATTTATAAGTAGTCTATTATAGACCTGTCACTCGAATAAAAAAGGAAAATCCTTACCACCAGACATAAATAATCGAAAAATGCCAACAAGTTGAATAATTTCGAACTAAATCGGGTTAAAATAAGTCAAAGTCGAGGGCTTTTTTGCTTTATTCTAACACGCGCTCGAAATTACAAAGCTTTTCCGTGAAGTAAACCTAAAGTTGAAGTGTTGTACACTTGAGAAAAATGTTTTCTTGAACTTCTCCTCGCTTCACCTGTTTGCCACACCTGGTCGCTTTGTTATTGTTACTTTCGCAGGAGAAGTTAAGCGGTCTTTAGTCGAAACGAAATACCAACAAAAGAGAAAAACACGAATTTAAATTAGTCAGATTTATGAAAGACTCGTTTTTTCGACAATCTGGATCGAAAATCGCACAATGGGGGCTTTTTCCCGAAAGGGTTGAAAAGCGACGGAAACAGAAATCGCTGCCGTGACAGAATTAACACGATGATTTATGTTTTCCGACTAATGAAACGTCAACATAGCAGACACTTAGGAGAGTCGTGTGTCATTCGAAGAAAAGCCTACGCTAATGGTGCGAGATCGTTGATCCTGACCGCGAGTTCGATTTTTCGGAACGCACGAAAAATGTAAAGCTCTCGGAGATGACGTCGAGTATTAATAATGTAGGGCTTCGAAAGCTTGCACGCGTGCAGGGGTGATTTATGACGACGAAAAAAAAAATTAAGTGAGTGACAGCGACACGCACCTGCCAGAGACGAGAAAATGGCCGATCATTTCCCGTGTTAATTAGTCGACGATCTATGAAAACTCCTGAAAAATCTCAAACTTTCAGACGACACTTCCAACTGAAATATTCAAGAATTATTGGAATTTTTTGCGACGACTTTGAAACTTTTTAATAGGTATTTGAGGACCTGGAAATTACCGACTCTTCGAAGGGCAAGGGGAATCGATACCCGAACCGATAAAAAATTATTTTCAGTGCAAAAATTCCTTGCACGTCCGAGCGCATGCATTGAAAAAAGTGTAAAAAACGTCTCAAATATCCGTTGCAGATTTCTATTTTGAGGTGGCTTTTGTTAAAATCCAGCACTGTCCGGAAAATCTAATCTTCTCCCCGTTACAAAACACGACCTTTTCCATCGATACATTGTTAAATCGAGCTTCGAAAGTCTGAAAAAAAAACGAATCACGTCGTTTGAGCTTTTCACCTATTCACACTTCTAAAAAGAAGCGGTGCAACTTCGGCGATCATCTTGATTTATGAAAATTGTTATGGAAATTAATCTTTTCGTTTGTTTCACAAAATAGAAACTAGGGTGCATTAAACATACGTCAATATGTTGCCAAAAGCACACGTACTTCTCGGAAATTCAATATTGGGCATCCTTTTCTGGATAAATTAGTGCAAAAAATCGCGTTTTTTTCAGAACATAATTGATTAGGTTGGCGTAAACGCAACGAATGTGTCTCCTGGATTAAAAAATGGCTTCTTCGTCCTAAATGAATTATTTCATGTTCACGGGAATGACTTCGAATGTGGGGCGACGTCTTCGTTAATCAACCTAATTAACTTTTTTCCCAATTAAATAATTTATTAACGGCAAGCACACTTCAATAATAATCCTGATTTTAGGGTTTTCAGTCGGTATATGTAATAAATTAAATTTTTTGCTTCTCTACGATTCGTGCTTTCATCACCGACACAATAGATGGACTACTGTCACAGGACGAATAAGGTGTAAAAGGAGTAATGGTGCAGAAACAAGTAAAGTGGCAGAAGCGCTTCGAGAGATAATTAGACTTGACAGGTTCTTTGTGTGTGGGAAAAAGACAAAATTAACACGTAAAAAAGGTACAATCGAGTCATAATTCAAAAAAATAAAAGATAAGACTTGAAGTTTTCTAATTTGAAAAGTTGGCCGAAAACGTACAGAAAGAATAGCCGGTTTCGTATGCAAACAGGCGTTCCGAAATCTGCATAGAATAATACATCAGTCTCATTGACAGCTCAGCCGAGATAATCCACGCCAGTAATGGATTACAAAAACTTTCCAAGCCGAAAATAAGAAATATCCACTTATTTTTCAGTGCAAAAGTAAAAATCCGAACCCATAATTGAAGCCCTGTGAGTGGTAATTAATGCGAAGGCATTGTGCGGCCTTTCCCGAGTCCGGACCGTCCGGAATCCCGGTGTTGATGTGTGTGATTAGCGGCCGGCGATAATCAACAGTCCGTTTGTTTTTGCAGGACAATCGACGCACCCGGAATTCCCGGACTTGATCGATGCGCGCCTCACCAGAATCTCTATTATATGGGCGAGTCATGACCGACTTTACTTTTTATTAATTCCAGAAAATGATACCTGACGGAAACGACACACCGATTTCAATTAAAATAGCGATTGATGGGAAGATTTCCGGGCACCTATTTTCCAAAATCAACGCCTCGATGCTTTCCACGAAAATCACTAATTAATGTTGACTTTTGCGGGTAATCGGGCGGCAACATCGAACATTAACGTATGGTCGACCAGTGGCGTACGCGCGGATAAAAGCGATAACAAAACAAATATCCGCCGTCCTATTTTTCCAAAAAAAAAAATTCGCCCTTGATTAAAAAGATAACAAGAGTGTTTTCCCACCGGTTTAGTCTTGCGTAACCTACATTTTAAACATTACAAAGTAATAAACTATATCATAAATAAATTTGTATTTTTAATTGAACACTAGATGGATTTTAATATCATAAATTCCATGAAAAATAAAAAAAGTGATAAAATATTTAGTTTTTCATTTTGACTTAGCGGAGAACCGAGGAAGGTAACGTCACTATGTAAATTTTTAATAAACTTGTAAATAAAATGTAAATTTTCGTTAAACAATAAACAAATTGAGTGTTGTTAAATGAATCGACTTGACTCGTTAGAATTTCTCCCCGTTTCATTTTCCATTCAGCGACGGCCATTTTTCAGGGGTCCTTTCAGGATATGCATGATAGTCGTTCGAGAATATGTTTTCCTTCTTCGAGAGTCACTCTAATGTATCTGCAAGGAGCATGAAAGGAGATGATCGCTTTGAATGCGAAACGACTGAAATAACACGAGCACTCTTGGTCTCATTACGTTATTAAAGCGTAATTTGAGGCCATCTATCTCTTGTGCAATTTCCAGAAATACGACACTCCTTGAAATATCATTTTTAGAATAGTTTTGCACTCAGGAACAGCGCATAAGAATGCGGTATATTTGTATACAAAGTTAAAACTTGTTTAAAACTTGCCCGAGTTAAGTTATAAATTAAATCGTAAACCTTGCTCACCATTACTGGTAAACTTCCGAAATAAAACATTTGGCATAACAATAGAGTCTAGGGCAGCCGGCTTAGTTGTTTATTTAATAATAAATCGCCCTCCTTTAATTAAAATCGACTCGTATATTCATGGGTGAATAGCACGTGACAATAAAGCCGACCCTTTTCCGTTATTATTGTGATTATTATTATTATGGAGCAAAAGTCGGCCTATTAAAGCTCCGGGATCCGGTAATCCTCGAACATGCGCCATTATAGTTCCGGGGTCGTTCCGGTCTATACGGTGCGATAATTACCCAAGTCTTCGACAACAAATCATCCAAGCCAACTTTCTATTGAAAAATACCACTGGCACCAGATAATTTCCTTTGAATTATCGACGCTTCGCCCTTTAACCAGTCGAGTTAATATACGTTGTTTTGTTTCCAGGCTCCTCCACCACGGCCGATTCGTTATAAAATAAAACTACTCGAGTTGATGGTTTTTCGTCTATTCTCTGGAGTAGTAAATGCTAAACATCGACCTAACGACAAGTGAAATTAAGCCGTATAACAGTGCGCCAACAACCATCCGGGCATATTAAAGTATTAAACTAAGTTGTGGTTACAATGGAGTTACAAAGTTGGAGCTCAATAAGAGAGGGATGCAACGGATTCAACAGCGAAAAGTCACACAATTCAAAACTGTGATGCAAAACGTTTGAATTGTAGGCTAGATTCGAATCGATGAATGACGATTATAATAGAAAGTTTGTCGAACGAACGACTTAATATCGTGAATGGAATGAGGTGCATTATTTATGATCCAAAAGATTGATTTATATAATTTAGAGTATTTAGCTTTATCGATGTAATTTTTCCGACATTTACCGCCTGAGTTGTCACACAATTGAGACATTTAACCCATTGTATTGACAATAAATGATTAACAATGAAATCAACCACAAAACGGCATTTAAACTCAATTTTCATTAATATTACGCTCTAGATATTACATAAACGTCTTCTTTTATGCATTTTCTGTGTTCATTGTTATTTCAAATTATTCTTTTCCAATTCGGAGAGAAGCACAAATTGATTGGAATCTTATGCTTCTCTGATTTCAAAGATGTGGTTCACTAAGTTTTTTTGAAGCCTATTATGTCTCCTAAATCTTTTGTTCTTTTACTGCAAAACACATCTTTCCAATTTATTTATCTCATTCGCTTTGCTCTTTTTTATTTATACTTTTTGACGTCTTTATTGATCCAAAATTTCAAAGCAATTGCCCGAATCCAACCACACAAAAATTCAATTCATTTAAAAAATAATCAACTTAGTAGGTTTTCCTCTATTTCAAAGAAAAATATTAATCAATTACCCGGCGCATCCACCATTTAATAACGAGCACAGTTTCAAAAAAGAATTAAGTATACATAGACTGAGATAAACAGTAAACTCTAGTTTCATTGTCAAAGTTTCGAAGATTAATTCTACTACAATGACACAAAACACTGCAATATGTTTTCAAGAAATACAACTAGACAGCTGTAGTCTTTACGAAAATGAACAGATGTAAATTCTATGAACACAAGATAAAAATTGATACGCTGGAAGTATGTTTTCTCGCAATTAATCACACAAAATCCTGTTTCATCATATACGGGTATAAAATGACATATTTCTCATTCCATTTATATTTATTTCAGTTATGTGAAATGCATTGTCATACTTTTATTACTTCCAACGATTTATTATTTAAAAACGACGCTTCATATTTTACGTATTCCAGTGCAGATGACAATAACAATCCAATAAAATTGCACAAAATCTAAGTCTTTCTATTTGTGCAAAAATTTTTTGTCCAATTTCTTGATAACCCAGAATTGGTTAATTTTATTTAATTAGTAGCTAGGTAGCTTCTGCCTAATTTCGACTTCAAGTCCTGTTGTCTAATCGAAATTCCTTCTTACGTAAAAACATCCCTTATTCGTTCTTAACCTACGTCAAGAAACTCTCTCCTGGCTGACCACCATCCTCCGTAACGCAAGCGCCGGCTGACGCGCTCCTCGAATTCCGTTCCCGTTAACCATCAGTGCCACACATGACGCCGTAGCGGAGAGACGCGTCGCGACGCTTAAAAATGACGCACACGGAGACGCGCTACTCGTCCCGTATCGCGCCACCGCCACCGAAATAAAGCTCGAATTTGCGGTCATTTCTCCTCCTCCCGTTCGAAGGGGGGCTATACTATATACTATGAACCGGGCGTGAGACAGGTTTGCGATAATTAATAGCGACATAAATCAAGCTCGCAACCATTGTCGGAGGGATACACGGCGTTCGATAGGAGGTGGCGGTGGCGGGCTCCTTTTGAATGTGACGGGAAGCGGGACCGGGACAACTTAACTGATCGATAAACCATAAAACACCTAAATTACAACACAGGCCTTAATCTATTGCGAGGCTGCAACAATAAAACCGACATCGGGAGGAAAAAGTACGGGAAGTGAAACCTTTTTTCCGGGAAGAGCCACCGAGGGTCGGATTAATAAAAATTGTGCTAATAGCGAACCATAAATATACAAATGATAATTAATCGGTTTTGTGCCTCTGGTGGTGGAACGACGCACGCAAATTAAACACTAAACAGTAAGAGCATTCTACAAAACTAATCCTAAAAAAAGCTCCCGGACTAATTACTTGCGTCAAAATAAGTTCCAGGAATAAAATCGGTGCAAAAATTACTAGCACGTTCGGTCAGCTATAAATAAAGCATAATGAAATAAACATTATCTTTGAAAATGAATACCAAAAAAACTCTCTAGAGTATTTGAATATTCATTTTAATTAAAAAGTTTAAACTAATTTAGAAACAGAGAAACAATACGATATTTTTTTAGTCTTATGCATTTCATTTAGCAAAAAAGTTCACCACAAAAACAAGACGTAACGGAAAACGCTTATTTTCAACAGTGGAACATTGATGAAATCCAATAATACTCATAGGCTTCAGATTTATCTGATTTTTTTATTTTTTTTATTCCATAAATACCCTTTTCCGAACTGTAGAGCTTGAAATCTCCACAAAGATTTTCCCAGAGTTCAAGAAGTAGAAATATGGGACACTCTACTTAGAATTTAAAATGTCCAACGACCGAAGAAAAACTAAATTCGATAGCAAAACTTTTGTATAAATTATTACACCCTCTTACACGCCTACCTAACACACAGGGTGTCGCAGCGGTGACTTTATCGATCCAGTATCAAAAATCGAAATAATCAGTTTATTATTTCGAATGAGACTCCCCAAAATTTTATTGTAATAAACCGAGATCGTATCAAATTTCCTTTTTAACCGACCTTCACTTTACTAATTACCCGAAAAAGCCGTAATATCGTATTAATCTCCCCTTTTAAAAAATCCCATTTAGCTAATCGATCGTTACAAATTTCAGAAAATGGAAAACGTTTTCTACAAAACGACGATTATACTCTACAACACGACTTCAAAAAACACAACTGAAACATCCGACTCCGACACGATCAACAACTGGTGGGCCTTATCGGCCCTCATTCTCGCTGTTGGCACTGCCGCTGGCAACATCCTCGTCTGTCTCGCGATATGTTGGGAACGTCGTCTTCAAAACGTCACCAATTACTTCCTTATGTCTCTCGCCATCACCGATCTGATGGTTGCCATCCTCGTCATGCCCTTAGGAATCCTGACACTGATTAGGGGTAAGCTTAGTGCGTGTGTCACGCACTTTTAAACCACTGTTTGGTTTTTTATAACCTTCACACACATACACCTGTTAGGTCCGGATTTACCGGATTCGCGTCTTGTCGGACAATGAAGACCGGAAACGAAAAGGACGAACAGATTTAGGGACGACAATGAACCGGAGGTATCGGACGGTTTAATTAAATAAGTTTTTTTCGAGAGGATGTGACATAAACAGCATCCTCGGAGACGGCAATCGATCAAAGTCCACTAGCCGGAAGGATAAAGCGGCCTTTTGAAAGATTTCACTTAAAAAAAAATAATAAATTTGAGTGAATAGTAACTGGACTCTTATTTAGTTACCGTACTGTTCCAGATATAATTGTGTAATGATTTAGGTTCGGTCTAAAGCATTCCAAAACCATTTCCGATAATTGCAAAATCAATCAATATTATTTTGACAGGTCGGGATTTCGAAATATGAATATTTTTGCGTCGGTCGGGCTTGGTTTTTCCATTATTTCAAATTTAGATAATTCGGTCGTTATCTGTATCTGTCATGTTACGTTTTCCGTAAAAAAATTATGGTATCGGCGTCGAATGATTCATTTTAGTGTCGTCTAAAAGTCTCCGGGATCGATTAAAGAGATTAGCGCCTAATGCAGAGGTCTAGATGTATAATAAGCTCGTAGAGGCCGGGAAAGGCGTTCGTCGTGGGAGATTTATAAGTGAAACGTTTTCACCGCAAAACGTTGGATGAGACGGATGGGTCGGATCACAGTCGAGGCGAGCAATTTACCGGTAATCTCTACGAAGAAGATCTCGCGCGTTTAATGTCTTCGCCTCGCCTCCCGTGCAAAGATTTAGGTATCCAAAGACGTCGAAGTCGTAATGAGAATTAATACGAAGATTTTGCGGATGGCGTGTGCGATAAATCGCAACCGACGACATTATCTGCTTCTTGTTATCGCAACACACGATAGAAAAATCGTGCCGAACAACAATCTACGGATAAATAAAGCAACTGATACGATTATTTTCGGTGTATTGTGAAAAAATGGTCGCTCTGTCATCGCGAACAAAACAGAATCCCGAAAATTGAAGATTATGATTATTGCGAGGTTTCTATTTCGGTTAAATTCACTGTTTGCACGGAACTGCGAAATAAAGTAATTAGAAATGTTATTATGCCAGGAGTTTTCCAGGTATTATGCATTAGCGCTCTTCCTTCGTAGGCGGGAAGTGAATTTTCCCTACTTAATAATAAGTCCACGGTGAGGGAATACAAGGTACTTTATATTATGTCGTTTTTTTCTTTTTATTAATAAAAAAAGTTGTAACAAAGTAAAGGATATTCCTGCATGGAATTGATTGCCTCGTAATTGCAATATCCTCCTGATATAATTTTCAATTGTGCGGTAATGCACTTTCAAACTTGATCACGTTGCGCAAACAAACAAGTTGAAAAACGAAATAGAAAAATTAAATATTTATAGTATAGTATATAATTTTGTTGTATAATTATTATAACTGCGGAAAGTTATAAACCCTTCACTTAGAAATTGTCAAAATGAGAGCAATAATGCCGTAGAATTACAGAAAATGATTCGTGCAATTGCCGGAAACCGCCGTCGATTCAAATTCGTCTGAAATTATGCTTCGATTGACCCGCAAGTAACACAACACCATCCGGGCTCGCAGCATGCGACTTTTCCGATAATTCTGTGCTTATTACCGTTGCATAAAAAGTAAAAACCTGATATTCAATGTTCCGGAGACGCGTTCTTGTTTCACATAATTGTATATTTGTGTTGTTTTTATTTTTCAATTACGCGAAAACCCTGAAACTGTCATCCTGCATCACGTTCATGCAACTTTGCACTCGGGATAACGGACGTCGAATTACCACATCCTTTGATCAAAAATTAACCTAGAAATGTCGTGTGTGTCTACAAACACTTGTGACACGTCCGAGAAAACAACCGGCGAATGTCAATTTGACGATCAATGCGAATTACGTCACTTATTAAAGTGTTACAAGTGCACAATTGTTTTTACCGTGCGTCCCACGTTCCACTTTTGAGCCAAATGTCAATCAGAAAAAAAATTCGCAACTCGAATCGAACCGTAAACATATTTTTCACGGTCGACGATTTGATCTCATTTCGTCGGGAAAATTTTCGGATTTTTCTCGCATAATGGAGCTATATTTACGTAGCGACAAGTCGATAAACATCTGCACAAAGGGGTTATGTCTCGTCGCCTTCGTGTATTATTGTCAACAAAACGTCACTTTCTACAGCTGATTATTTCGGCGGAGAGATCACAAGGTGTGGCTTTTTTCACACTCGCAACTAAGTCGTATAATAATTATCCTCGTACAAGGCACGAGTCCGGATTATCGACCGGAATTATCACTATTTAAACAGCAAGAAAACATTGCCACACCTTTGACATCATTAAAAATTCGAGACGAAAATATACGAAATAATTGAATCAAAAATGCACTCACCTGAAACAAAAACACAACAATAAATCATTCGACAATGAAAACTCAAATTTTTTCCGCACGCATTCTTCCGGGACGAAAACCGTTCCGTCGTGTTGACGTTTATTATTAGCTAGGATTAATTATTCAAATTTGTCACAAGTGGATTTATCGACATTTCGATTATTATTATTTAATCGGGCGCTCGGATTATTTCTGGGATGACATAAATAACATCGCCGCCTTCACAGAATCAGAAATTGACTTTAATGAGATGGGCGGGGAATATTCTTAACGATGAAACGGGACAAATTAACGCCCCGACGCCCCACATCGGAATACGCCAAACTTCACCGAAAAAACTCGACAAATTAAGTAAACTTTCAACGATTGCAACGACAGCAACATCGTAATTAGGCCCACGCAAAAAATCAAGCAAAGCGAAGTTTTAAATTAAATAAACAGAAATTTAACGCCAAAATAGAAAATTATTTATTTAGCTCTTCAAAAAACTTCCACCTTTGCCTATTGTCCCTTGCCCGATCGATAATTATTAGGTTCCATTTCAGTATTTCCCATCGGATAAAAGAATCGGGAAATGCTTTATATCCCCCTTGATACATAGTCCGTTGTTTCCTCTCCTATTGTTACTCCCGCCAAAAACAAACGACCGAAGAAAATAGATGAACTGGTGAAAAGTGCATCCGAAAACACTAATCACTCATTCCCCACAATTAATTCCTCCAGTGTCCGACCCGAAACCGCACTCCAGTTGCGTGAAATATCGTTGGTACGCAAAGACAACATAATTACGCGTAGGTGTCTGGAATTAACCACCGACATATCCCCAATAAAAACTCGAAACGTCCCGCTCGCAAATGGGAATTTATCGGATGAAGAGGCATCGATTGCGAGTCTATTTTCGATGCGATCGATTCAAAACTATTAAATAAACGATCAGCTTAAAAATAGAGAGTGGCGATTAGAATTTCGCAGTACTGTGAGAGCTTACGAAAGGATTAGGAACTCTCCGACGAGTTGCATTAGCAGGTTTCAGCAGGACGAGCTTTAGCAGGATAATAAAAAACTTAATAAAATATTTTCAACGATCGATGAAACCTCTTGAAAATCGCCTCGGCCATCGAAATTCCTAAAGTCTCGGTTCTAGAGTTTACTTGCCAGTTAAAAGCGATTATCTCATTATCTGCTCATCGCGTTTGAACTCATTTAAAGTCGGATTTTTTGCGAGTTGTAAGTGAAGATTTTCGAGAATTAGACAATGAATGATTAAATGAATCAGCGTTTCCAATTAGAATAGTTCGGTTTCTGTAAATGTGTAATGATGCGTTTAACGCAGCTCGACTCAATTATGTATTGTTTATTTTTGGACGTTTTTTTTTTCTGAAAAAAAAATCAACGATTAAAGAGCCTGTTTGATTACCCCTTTGTCCAGTTGATCGATTAATCAAACAACTGGAACCCAATTATCCGCGACCGCAGTTAATTCCGCAACAAAATCAACATCGATTTTAATTCTGAATATTGTCGAATTCTGCAATATCTCCGAGAAAAACTCCGGTGGAAGTTCGAAACTGACGCTGCGACAAGGTGAAGGAGCACTTGTTCGACGAAAAGGGGGCGAGAATCAATTTGCGTGTGCATTTGGCCGTCGTCATTGAGAGGTCTTGGATATTCTGCTGAGACGTACTGAAAATCGAGTGCAGCAACCAAGTGGAGCGCTTCAATTATAAAACCATTCCTTTGCATTTTACAAAAGGATGAAAATTGATTAAGATCACTGCTAGCTCATAACTCAATTTCGAATCGTATAAAAAAATAACACACGCACGACGGGGGCGAATGTGACATGTGTGGGACGCTCCCGACGATTCATGCATCCTTTCTCTGGTCTTGTTTGTTGGCAATTTGCAACTGATGGCTTCTTAAATAATAACCGAATAAAGGAGCGACGGTTTGACGATTCAAAGTCGAAACGTCCATGAAATATTTATTACTCGAGAGTATGGAAAAGAAGGAACGAAAAAATTGCTTTTTATATATTCTAAAATTTTATTTTCGTCATATCGACGTTGCACAACAGATGTACCGAAATAATCGCTTCCAATACGACGATCTTCAAACACAAAACTCAATTAACTAATACCAAACTATAATCGGAGGACCGATCGAATATCCTTAATCAGATTTTTGCCCTCATACTCGTCAACGCCCAAAACACGCCCCGCTAAACGAACTATTTTAATCCAAAAAAATTAAAAAGTAATATTTCTTTGCGGGGTTTGATCAATTTTTGAAAGTTTTATGTTAATTGAACCTATTTTTTCGTGAAATCGTGCATTTTGGCTCCACTTTCGTGAGAACAGCTGATGTAAAAACCCTCCTCCAGCGGTTTTATCGTTTCCAGCTCGCCGACACAACTCACCCTAAATTGATTCGGTATCGATACGAGAGGCTCAAGCCGAAGCCTTCCTTAACACACCTTGACAAATTCGGATTTCGATGAGCAAATTCATTTTTTGCTGTGTGAAATGTCCATCGCCCGTATTTATTCCAGACAAATATCCAGACCTCGATTTAGGAGAGTATTCAAACATCGACATTGTTGGACTTAACGCAGAATTAAATTGAAGGATTCCGACTTGTATTATTTCAGTTTGAGAGTGACGAAGAGGCACGAAGAATGCCGCACTTGAGTCCGCTTGGTCGGGCGCGAAATTTAATTGAACCAGATGGAAACTCGACGAAATCTACTCGAAAGTTGTGCAGAGGGATTTCGGATGAGTTCTACTATTATAAACTCATACATCTCGAGTTGCATCTCTTATTTTCAACTCCCCCTAATCCGACATTAAGTAAGTGCGAGGTCGAGTTTGTGGTTTCCGAATTTTAGCGATGGGCGTAAATCTAAACAATTATTATAAATAAACAGGAACTAAATTCAACAATAAATTCGGAAAATCTTCAAGCGAGTAGCGTACACGGGCTTAATTAAGTGATTTTGCATGTTATGCTGTTCAATATTGACTTAATGCGAGGCGGAATAGTAACGCGGACGCCCACAAAAGCGTAGGGGAGTTATGTTAACATTAAACTGACACAAAAAAATAAACTTTTTAAATGATCGATGCGAAAAAACTATTCCCGTTCGAAATCCGTTTAAATTAATTAGCTTCGTTACTGGAAAAGCCCTCTCCCGGAAAAAAAAACGTCTCGACTTAATCAGAGTTCGATTTGATTAAAGATTTATTTCGTTTGACGAGTGTTTCCACAAATCTTGGAAAAATCGCATTAACTCGCCACATGTTGTATCTAAATCGAAAAATCAGGATCCGTTACGAAAACTTGTCATAATTTAATCTTGCCGTTTGATTAGTGACTCAATAAAATCGTGATTGGAAGCTTAAAATGAATCCGGATCCGGTTTATGACTGCGGACAGCTGGCCCGGATTATTATTGCAGCAACTTAATTGAAACTATCCCGGAGCGCTAGAACACAAAATTCTCCGGGTTAAGAAAAGCATTAAATGAAAAATTAATTTTTCAGGTTATTTTCCATTGCCTTCAATATACTGCCTCGCGTGGATATGTCTCGACGTACTTTTTTGTACCGCTTCGATTATGCATTTGTGTACTATAAGCGTCGATCGATACCTCTCTCTCAGCTATCCGATGAAATTCGGAAGGAACAAGTCCAGAAGAAGAGTCATACTCAAGATAGTTTTCGTCTGGTTATTGTCGATAGCCATGAGCTTACCCTTGAGTCTCATGTATTCCAAAGTAATTCTTATTTTTATTGGAAACAAACACGATATAACGCCGGCTGTTTCAGGACCAAGGCACTTTAATAAAAGATGGGACGTGTCAAATTCCCGACCCGTTATACAAACTTATCGGTTCCATCATCTGTTTCTACATTCCTTTATTGGTCATGTTGGTCACTTATGCCCTAACTGTGCGTCTCCTCGCCCATCAAAGACAGAATTTGGGAACCCCAGATTGGTCCAGCAATTGGATGGGAGGGCCAGCTCTAGGTAATTATTTATTTTTCTCATCCCTTGTCAAAAAATGCAATAAATTGTGTAGAACGCCGCTGTACTTGGCGAAAACTTCTAACAAAAGCCAAACAAACAACTCCACAACACGGCCATCATTCGGCCACTTCGACTGACACCGAACTAACAACAATCGATAACCACGAATTATGGATACAAGAGTCGGAACCAACACCCTGTACCATGTCCGCTTTAGGTCAATTCGGCGCCGAAATGCTCAAACTTTCTCGGGGATTAGAAGCCGCCTCACATCTGGGGACACCACCGAGACACATCGGTGCCTCTCCCGGAAAAACCATCCTCAAAATAAGGTAATTTTACGAATTACCATCATGTTTACGTCGTAATTACCGCACCGAATCAAAACACAATTAGTCGCTTGATAGCTCCAAAATCCGACACAGAACGCAATTGAATATTCAATCCGGTCGGTTTGTTCAAACAAATTTCTTGCACAGTTCCGGTGACAGTTTGGCTGACTCGCATTCCTCGTTACTGACACCGGAGACGTCCCCGTGGACCTCCAAGAGACGTCGCGCTTCGACCTTCCACGAAGGAGACACGCGAGACGAAAGTCCTTCGCCGAGATGGCGAAAAAGACGCTCCAGCTTTCACGAACCGAGATCTTCGGATGTTTCTTCAGAGCTTTCGTCTGAAGCGACAGAAAGCTCAACTTTTCCCCTTCCTCCGCCATGCACCTGTCCCTACTTCGGAGAAAAACCCCCGGATAAATCACCGCCACCGAAACCAGCAGAAGTTAAAATCATCCCCACGACCAAGTTGTCATTAGAAGTCGAAAAATCGCCGCTGAAAAAATCTCTCCGGAACAGAAGCAGCACTGATTCGTCGCCAAATAACATCGTCGTCACGTGGGAGGCTTCCAGGAGAAGCCATCGACGAGGTAACGCAATGCATGATTCACATTTTTTTTTATTAATTTGTTTATTCACTAGGTTCAAGCTTCGGCAATACGAAAACTACAATTCTGAGCAATTCGACTCAACGTACTCCGCTTCTGCTCCGTCGTTCCGCAACGCTCCGTCAAAATGGCCACGGCGGAACAACTCTCAAAGACAAGGGTAAAAACCCATCATCCCCTTGTCTTTTACAAAGATACAACTGCAATAACGCCGCTACCACCACAAAAAGCATCCGTTCGCACCACTCGAGAAACTCTTCCGTCATATCGAGGAATTCTTCACGCCACGGAAGAATCATCCGTTTGGAACAGAAAGCGACCAAAGTGTTAGGTGTAGTGTTCTTCACTTTCGTGATTTTGTGGGCACCTTTCTTCATTTTAAACTTACTTCCGGCGTTCTGTTCCGAGTGCGATAAGAATCTAGACAATTGGGTGGTGCAATTGGTGACTTGGTTGGGTTACGCGAGTTCAATGGTGAATCCGATTTTCTACACGATTTTCAATAAAGTTTTCAGACAAGCGTTTAAAAAAGTGTTAACGTGCAAATATCGCAAGACGGCTTGGAGACCGCACAGGTGACCGCAAGTGAAAAAAACGTGTAAAAAAATTCCAGCACAGCACTGAAATCTAATTGTGATAATTGATAAATATAGTGTTAAACAAAATCGGTTCCGACGAACCGTAAAAATGGGGGAAAAAATGCTTTCAATGAGTAATCTACTAATTAAATTAAAAAAACAAGAATCATGTTTACATGTTGTGTAACAGGTAGTTTTTAGTGACACTTCCTACCGGCTGTAGCTCCTTTCGTAGAATAAATTTGTTCGCAGAGAAAAAAATAACGCGTTTTGTTACACTAATTGTGATTTTAAGTAGATTTCCCTTAGGATTCTCGGACACCAAATCTTGAAAATTTAAAATACATCAACGACCACTCGGGAAATATAAACCTACGTATATTCTTTTGCCCGACCATAAACCGAGATTATTCCATTCCTATTGATTCCCACACCTGACGGCTTTGCAGCGTTGCGACCCACATCAAACACGACTTATGTTACACTAAAGTCGAGTGAATATTAACAGGTCCCGGGCGTGCCGCAAAGAACATTTCCCGTCCCCATCCTTTACATCACATATTCCAAATCGCGCCTTGCTTCCGCGACAGATTTATGTCCCGAAGCTCCATTAAAGCAATAAAATAAATGTCGAGCGACAAAATTATGTACAAGGGACGGCCATATGACGCACGACTCACGAACCCTTTAAAACTTTCGACAGAAACTCTACAACCGGGCACGACTTTTCCATTATACAGTTGCAACCGAAAATCCTAATTAAAAAAAAGTTTCGAATAATACCTGCAACTAAGCCGGTTTTTTCTCTGGTTTCAAATGAAAATCCTACAAAACAAAAACTTTTACTTCATTTTAAAAGTTTCAGACTACGCAGCGGATTCCTTTGTGCCGTTTAATTGATACAATTTAGTTAATTGACGGTAATTTCGAGTGACAAGAGAGTTCGCCGTGTGTAATAATGCAATTATGCATTAAACAGCGTCCGAGATGAGACAGAAAATAATTAGCGTGATTTTTTTTACTAAATTCGCTCAACAGTAGGCGCCACATTCTGCGAATCGCAATGTGATCGTTTTAACATCACCACATTTGTGGTTTTCGAATAAAAAATAAAAGAAGTTCAGCTTGAAAGTGGAGCACTTTTCTTCCGTTTCCTCCAATCGATAACTTTTCCATCAATAATATATTCTTTTGTTGGCGTTTGCATGCTTTTACTGGAGCTGAAAGATCGGCGTTCTTGCATTATCTCAGTCAGTGGCGTAACAAGCAGCAAATTTAAAAAAATAAGACATATTTCCATGTTTCCAAGAGAGTGGGCGAAAAGCAATCTTGTTCAAATTTTTGGCCGGTTTATCTTTAATTCTTCTTTGATCATTTAGAGTTAACTTTTCGGAAATAAATTGTTCGAATGGTTAGAAACCGCGTGGGCGTTTTCTTTTGTGCCATATTTCACTTTGTTTCCGACTACAATTCCATTATCAGTGTTAGTGACAAGTAAGAAGAAACATCCTTGTTGTTGCGATTTATACGACTTCTTCTTCGGCAATGTCGAGTTTAAAAGTCGCATCAAAAAATCCGTTGCACGTTTCAAGTTAACAAAAATTGTACCTTTCGTGGCGATAAGAGAAAGCTCGGACGCGATTACGGCTTATTAAACTTCCGGTAAATGTCTGAAAATATGACGGTCTTTCGTTGTTTGCTCTTCTTTTCGTCTGTTCGTAACGTCGAGAATTATCCACTTTTATCTGGCTCGAAACTCGAGGGAAAAATGTTTATTACGTCCACTGAGTGAGGACTGATAAATGTCTGTTGATACTTGTTGGGAAGTTTTGTTGCCCCGACAATGGGTGAATCTGTTCTTTTTTTAGAACCGGGTCACCATTTCGACTGCCAGTAGGTATCTGCAGTATCGATTAATTATTTAGGTTAGATGTGTTTCCCAGGGAACCTTCTAATTAACAAGAACATATTAACGCGTTTATCGCATACTGTCTGCATCATTACAGTTCAATGTAGAAGATCGGGTGTGTTCTACGGCATTCTCGGCAATTATCGATAAGACCAGTGACGCAACAAAAGATTTTAACAGAAAAATTTGCTTACACATAGTTGAAACAGTTAAAATTAATACAGGTGTTTGCGGATTAAGAGCAAAAATTCTAACCACTAATAGAACTAATGTCATTTCTGAGTTAAAATTAAAAGTTGAAGCCGAAAACCCGTCTACGCCTATGTTTTAAAACGATATTTACGTTTATTCATAAGAAAAAAACTATGGACACGTCCTCCATCAGATAGATTTCCAAAAAATCCAGTTAAGCGGCGTTAAGGTAAAAAAAGGAAACCCAGTTAGGTGACTTTCAATAATCAATGCCCAAACATTTAGTAAAAATCGGTCTTGGAAGTGACGCCCGTACACTACTTAACTCGGCGTTTGCGTAGTTGGCCATAATAACTTGATATGCAATCGATATGCACAATTCATTCGAAAGTGTGTTTACAACTGATGCGTGTAAACACCTGATAATTTTTGTGTGTCCAAAGTTATCCCTTTTTTGTGTATAAAAACTTTCACAGTCAACATCCAATGCAAATTATTTTCCTTGATATTTTTACTTCCACGTAACAAAACAAATTTTTTAAATATGATATTTAAGGCCAGTTTCATAATGGATTTAAAGAGATTTTAAAGTTAATGTTGGTTTAGAATGTGAAATTTTTGTCAACAAGTCTGTACACTCATTCTAAACAATATTTAATTTAAAGCTTCTTTAACTTAGAATGTGAAACTGAACCTTAGTCTTCAAATTGACTTTTCATAACGAATTATTTTAGTGATTACAATATTTGCTCGTAATGCGGAAACAAAAAAGTTACAAAATTTACAATCATCTAATCTTTTAAACGTTTCTTCTGGACTGGTCATTATTGCATAGAGGTTTGGTTTTTATTTCAGTCAATACATAATTATACAAATGTTACGAAAATACTTTAAAAATTATTGAATGATCGCGTTTGCTTTTCAGTACAACGTGTTTCTAGAAGTTTGCCATTATTTCCTAAAACTTATTTGTAAATTTTTAGTCAATGTTTTGTTGCTAATTCTCACCTGGATGCTTTCTTTTTTATATTAACCAGTTTCTCTTTGTGTTCAATAATAAAACTTATAATTTCACAACGTTACACAACTACCTTTTTCTATTTTGTTCACGCAACTCAGGGGATAGTTTTTCAGGATGTAAATTCTTGTATTTTGTCATAAAAAAGACAATACAAAGTGTTTTTTTGCATAATTTAACAAATGGTAAGCACTTCGCTCCAGGTCCCTCGACGACCGTCCACTCGTATTAGGTTTTTCGGCCGCAATCTCTCCGGATATTATTTGTTCAGGTCGGCCGGATCGGCCATCGAATCCCTCCCTTTCTCTCGTCGTATAATACCCGTCCAACGACCGGACGCACGTTTTAAATAATTTCGTCGTGATCTTGCGATCTCGAAACTTAATTCCAGCTAAAACTGCACACATTTCCCGTCGTATTCATGACACGCGCCACCCCTTTAATTAATAACAACGCAGTTGGCAGCGTCTTTCTAAGACAGGTGAGCTGCTGCTGCTGCCGTTGTCGCTTCCAATTTCTGTCCTGTCATCTCGATTTACGTTCGATTCCTATATATGATGAAACGCTCGACAACGCGTTTTGTGACGAGCTTTCGACTCATTGAAATTGGGTTTTTGTCCAGCGACGCCGACGGTCCCGGCATCGACAATGAGAACGCCGATATTAGACGCTTTTACGGTCCCATCTATCTGCATTTAACGCCCGGAAACGGCGATAGATTCACAAGGTGAGAGATTTCGCACCGGAGCAATGCCAGGATCGATCACCCGGAAACTAGCAAAAATATCAGTTGCCAAGCAACAACAAATCTACGCAAATTAAATGTTTCCTAGCAATAATTGTTTATGGCAATTTGGAACATATACTACTTGCTTTGTGCCAAACTATCGGAGTTTGAAATATCGAGCGAGTCTCTCGAATAAACGAAAATTCCTTAAGAGAGTTTGTGACAAGTTTATTGGTCGGATATGGAACGTCGACTTCGCTCAAACGACAAATTAACTGCATAATTGATGAAAAGTTAATAATTTCATGTGGCATCTGACTCGACGTCATAATTTAATATTTTGCGGTATTATAAAGTCGCGCATATACATGTTTTAATTGGTTGTTTCGTATAACGGCTTTTGCGCTAGTTTATCTAATGTTAGCATCTAATTTCACAAATGGCCAAATAAAGTGAACGCGACTTCATTTATTTTCAGCGATTCGCGCGTCTCTGAACTTCTATTCATAACTACAGTTCTATTGAAAATTCCATTCCATCTTGGAATAAAAGCTTTTCGCCTGCTTGTATCGAATCGAATTTCTTAAATAAAAATAAACATAATTTACGTATTCACAAACATCACGATTTGAAAATATTTTTGGGTAAAATAATTAGACTAATGTAATCCTCAAGGTAATCTTACGCTCCCGTAAACACCATAAATCCTTCATGTGTTTATCCTGATTTCGTATTCAACTCGACATAAAAGCAAAAGGCTTATTTTACGAAATTTAATAAATTAAAAACATAATTTACGCTCCTACAATCTTTTTAATATTAAATTGAATGAAATTCCATGCTTTGTGTCAACAGAGACGTAAAAGCTTCACTGCTACGTTTTCAAAGTAAAGTGCCAAAAACTTTGACAGACTTAGTTTGCATCATCAGTTCTCAAACTTTTTTCAATATTAAATCAAGCAGAGAATAAAATAAAACTTGCAACCAACAGAACAAGTATTACAAAATGAAATAGTTCTAGAACAGTTCTCGAGAAAATAACAACTGTGTTTTATTGAGTCAAAGTAATGAAATAAAAACAAAACTTTGTAGACATAACCACTTCACCTCTGTGGTCATAAATTAATAATTTCATAGCATCTCCGAGAACATCCACAATTTTCATTTCATCCCCTTTAAAGGTAAAAAACTGCCTCTGGCATACGTGCCAACAACCCATCACGTTTAAGAACATACCTCTTCCATATAAATTTTAAAGACACCTCTTCGAAATCAATTTCCAACTTCCTGTCTCGTCATAAAATACCGAATGCATGACAATATCAGAATTTATAAAAAGCCCGGCCGTTAAAAAAACCCTA